ATCTTCAGCTCTGGTAAGTACACATCGGGAACGGGCGAGCAGATGTAGTCCAAAATATATCCATCACACGTATTGGTTTTCTTGTTGCTTCTCCTACTGGCATCACTGATAATACTGTTGCTTTGCGGTTGTCTGCTGGTCTTCCCTACATGTGTGGCAATTTTGCACTGGTCACTCTTCCGCTTGTGTATGTTGCCGGGGTAACCGTTCGTTCTGGAAAGACTTGTGTCGGACGGTAGGCATCTACAAGGTTTTATGTACATGAGTTGAGATCAGCTTCACGACGAAGACTCAGATGCAACGTTGTGACATGGGTGACTTCTTCCGAAGTCCAACAACATCAACCCTACGCCCTCAACTCTGGGGCTGAATCCTAAAAACCTAACCGCCTAAATCCCCAACCTCTGAATCCAGAAGATCCGAAACTCCAACATTCCTAAATCCCAAACCCCAACATTCCGAAAGTCTTGCCTCAACTCCCAAAGCACCAAACCGAATGTAGGGGCCTTCATAGCTACATAGGGTTTTGGTTTTGGGCTCGTATAAAGTATAAGAACAGAAAGGAAGCCTCAGGAACAGTACGCGTAATTGTTTAAGTTTCTGTATGAAATCCTAGCCGCCAAGGACGTTCGAACTCCTCGTCGGACTTTCAAAAACTCTACCCTAAAACCTAACCTCGGAGTTCCTGGTCAACGCCGAGCTTTCGCGCTTTGATAAAGGAAGTCCTCCCTACGGAGAGTAAAAAGATACTAATTACATGAGGACCGAGTATCCCAAACTTTCCATCCTCCCTGAACTGAAAAGAACCCTTGAACCCTAGATACCCTGAAGCCCGCAACCCCTAACTCTCAGCCCCACGCCTTCTCCCCCTGAAAAGATACATCCCGGTGAAACGACGTCGAAGCTCTCTGAGAACCTGGCTTCCCTGTCGCTGGCAAGTCTCCCTGAACACGTGCGCGGCCTGGGAACTTTGCCCAATCATGCGTAAAGGCATGAGCTCTGGACGGCGAACTCCCTAAAAAGCTGGAAACATCATGGATTGCAGAGATTTGGTGCCGGGTTCCAACTTCGATACCTCTAGGGCATTAGGACGATGTTCCAACTGTCTGGCGAGTACTGTCGGACCTGAGGGGCTGTGAGACGCTTGAATGGCTGCAGGGCTGATAGCTTGCGGGGTTCAAAATCTGCGGGGAAAAGGGCACAAATGGAGGCTCCGGGCTAGCGTCTGGGGTTTGCTTGGAGCATCGTCGCATTAGGGTCACAAGCAAGGGAACCATATTCAGACTCACATTGAAACCAAAGGGACCTGATCCCCCAGAGCACCTGACACAGCCCTCTGTGTATTATCGTGAATTATAGTACATTATAGAATATAATATTATATCGTATTATGGTATATTATAGTACTTCAAAGCATACTATAGTATGTTATAGTGACGGACCACGGACTTGGGAAGTTAGGTTGTAAGTCTCGTTAAACACGGGTTGTCAATTCCGAAGCTCCTCATGGTGCACCTCGGGTCATACTTAAAGGATCATGGGACTTGGTAACTAGGGATATAAGTAGGGTAACTATACCTATACCCCCAAATTAGGGTACCTATAACCTTACTTACTAAGTCCCGTGATCCTCCATTATAGAACCCTTATGGATCCCTTTGTGGATCCCTGTAAGGAAGCCTATAGTACCCTTATACAGGAACTACTAAGTCCCATGATCCTCCAAGTAGCAACTTCATCCGTGCTCAGGGGTTCAGGCATTTCAGACCCCCGAGGCAAAGGCCGCAACAGAAAAAAAAGCACACCCATCTTTTCACTTGCAAACTAGCTCATGGTTGGGATAGAATTAGAAATTTCCATTTCTATTCCTTATTGGGTTTAAGTACCCATAAATACGTAATATGTTACCCAACTTTGACAAAGCAAAGGCAAGCCCCAGCCCTTGCCGGCCTCCGAAGCGCATAGCCGGTACCCAGGACGAAGCCGACGGCCTCCGTGGCCGAAGCGCTGCACATCGCTTTGCGCGGGGTTTCCCCGGCCTCTGCCCGTGGCGTCCGCGTGCAGCGCCGTGCAGCGGACGGCCATCGGGGCGGCGTCGGCCGCGTGATCGCCGCAGGGCGCGCCGCGACTGCGAGCCTTGCTTGTCGGCTGAGAAAGGTCAGAGCTTTGGGCGAAGGCCATCGATCTTAACTTGAAGGGAAGAAACGTGCCAAGCCTAAGGCAGGCGAGCCAACCGCGACTTTTCCACAATGAGAGGAAAAGAAATTAGGCTGATCAGCGGGATTAAGACGTACATGCTGTTGGCGTCCATGCTGAGCATGATGATGCCCGTTTGCTGCTGCAACTGCTGCTGATGATGGCAATGCTGAGTGAGACGGAGCTCAGGGTGAGGAGGAGAAGGAGGGCGAGATGATGATCGTGGTGACATGGTCAGGATGACTAGCGCTAGGATTTCCTATGGCTAGCGCCAAATTTTCCTATGCTATACCTTCAGGGCATTCTATAGCTTGATGATGTTTTCAAGCTTTCTGGCTTCTGGATTCGGGGAATTGGTTCGCGGACAAGTTGCGGCATAGGCTAAAGGAGCTAGAGTTTAAGGCGTGGGTGAAAGGACGTGACACGCAGGCGCCTCCTTGGCCCTTTTCGACTTCTACAAGCCTTCGGTCTACAGTGCCAGCAGCGGTACAGCAAAAGCAGCGTCTTAGCAGCCTGCAGCACCAACAAGGATTCGGGGAATAATGCCAAGGCTAACGACGCGAACAATCAGAACTTGCTTGCATAATACCTTTTCTATCATGATTGTTCACTCGTGGTGCAGTTTGTCTACTTGTGCTGGTCGCACTCACTGACACATTGCTGCCATTTCCTCGTCTTCATCCTTTTTAAAGACCTTACCGCTGCCGAGACGCGCAATATGGCTCGCTGGACGACTTCTCGGAAGTCCACGCCTGCGATGAGCTGAATTAGACTAGGGTTTGGAGAAACGAAACAACATGAAGACAAGAACTAAGAGGGTTAACATGTACGATCCTCAAACGAACAACTCTGAACCCATCCACGAATTAGTTCATTTGTCTGCCTTGACCAGCTGGCAATCCCTAAACCTCTGAACCTAAGCACCTAAACCCTTCAACCCCTAAACCCTGAACCCCTGAACCCCTCTGTGTCCGTGGAGGTCCGGCCTTAGGGTCGAAACGAATCTTTAATGGGAGTTTCCGAAAATTAGGGGTACCTTATTTGGTTTGTGTGTGTGTGTGTGTCGCTCTCGTGCTGGTACACCTTGTGAAGCCACTCGTAGCCAGCATGCCCGGCGGCTTATTTGGGGCTCCTTATAATAAGGATCCTACTATTTGGGGTACTACGGGTACTACATTAGGGTCCCTAATTTTCGGAAACTCCCAAATATGTTTGACGCGAAGTCCCAGTCAAGGGTGTAGGATTTCAGGACTCTTCCCTTCACGGCCAGGTTCACTAGCACCACCATCACCCCTTTCACCTTTCCTGCTTCGACCGACGGAGACGGGACCTATGACTGCTGCAAAGTGTAAACATCATACGCATCTTCGTGCCATAAGAACTCGTGCTTCACTAACCCCAACTAAGGTACTTATAACCTTACTTACCAAGTCCCATGATCCTCCAAGTGCTGAGACCAGGTCTGCAGGATTTAACCCGAGCAGCCCAGGTCCTTCTCCGTTGGTTGCATGCAATGCTGCTAAGAGCCAACCGACCGCTACCCCTCGGCTACGATGCCTTTGTCGACTCCTAAAGGTTCTTGAGACTGAGTTGTGATAAGGCATTTACACGGATATGCATCTATGTAGCTACATAAGGTAAAAGCCAGAAAGTTGGAATATGATTATCCTAACCCTTCTATGGTAAATTATAGGGTATCCTACCCTGAAACCATATTCCAACTTTTTGGAGTTCCCTTTATACGGGTGTTTCATGAAGGTTGTGTCAGGCTTGAGTGAAGGATGCTGCGTGTTTGTCGTTGGGTCCTGCAGGGCTTCCCGAGGACAGATCACGTCAGAACCAGTGAATCGCCACCAGCCTCCGAAACCGTAGCCACGGTTTAGGGTTTAGGGTTTAGGGTAGCCCAGACCGTCATCCGAAGCGCGCCAGACCCCCAGAACAACGCAAGAGATGCGCCTGGTCATGACATATCTCGACCGCGGCTACGGCCATGGCCGTGGGAAAAGGCGCTTCCCACTGTGTTTTTTTCTTGCGCTTCGGGTGCTTTGGGCTTCAACAGTCTTTGGCTGGCCTTCTGTGGCTTCACTAAACACCTCATGGCTGTGGAAGAGCGCATTTACGAACCACGCGATTCTTGCCGGACTGTATCGTCCGGACTCTCACTGGTCAGCAGCTTCTTCTTCATGTGAGGCAAGTAGTTGTTTGACAGCAGTCGGAGTTCTAGCAATGGTGAGGCGAGCTACTCCTGCTGAGTGGACACAATTGAGGTTTTCGCTGTCGTCCCTGTGGCTCGCGGAAGCTGGGTGCAAAGGATCCTGAAACCAAAGCTGTGAAGCGCACAGAACAGTGCATAGATGCATGTGTGCTGTCTGAATGTACGTACACAAAAAAACCTGAACATGTATGTCTGCATTTATGGCCACATGGGTATGTGCGCATGCGTAGACATACATGCCGGCTAATGTAGATTCTGTACCGAAGCCCCGGGCCTTTCAACCCCCGGTCCACACATTGGACGCTGCACTCTGTCAGAAGAAGCGCCCCGCGAAAGCAAATCTCCAAGCCCAAAACCCTGAACCCCAAGCTATAAGCCAGAAGCCTGTAGAAAACCCTAAACCTAAACCCTAAACCCTAGACCCTAAACCCTAAACCCTAAACCCCTAAACCCTAAACCCTAACCCCTAAACCCTAAACCCAAAACCCAAAACCCAAAACCCAAAACCCTAAACCCTAAACCGCTATAGACCCTGAAGCCCAAACTCGACTGAGAACCGCAAGCTCAAGGAAACAGGCCGCGGGGAGACCCGAAATGATCATCCGCCTGAGGCGAAAAACCCGGCAGTCCCCAAAAGCAGCTCCACAGAAACCCAGGATTACTCTAGGGGCTTAGGGTTTAGGGGTTTAGGGGTTTAGGGGTTTAGGGTTTAGGGATGAGGAGGAGGAGGGTCAACAAAACTCAGAATAGCTGAATAGCTGTTTTTCTTAGGCGGGGTTTCTCATACCGTAACTGCCGTGGGGGCATTAGGACGGGGTATATCAATACAGACGACCTAAACCCTGTAAGGTGGGGAGGCATGTTCCCAGATTTGGGGAGGTTCTCATGGCTGGATTTGATTTTGGAACCGTAGAAGCTACGATGAGTTGCAGGCCGCAGAAACCCGCAATGAACAAACAAGCAACATCCAGGAACTTAAATAGAAATAGCAACCACTAGATTCACAATATTACTATCATATTACTAGCAAATTATTAGCATATAACTACTATTACTACCATTCTTCCATTGCCTACTAACCAAAGGTAAGTTCCTCACGCCAGCTCTAGCTCGAACCCCTTAACTGCTAAGGGGAAGGATGCTGTATCTGGGGTATATGAAGCCCTGCAAAGGAGGAACGAGAATCCTTGCATTGTAGAAGCAAGCCCTTGTAGGAACAAACACCACTCCCCCGAGTACCAGGTTCAAAAAGTAGGTTGCAGATATAGAATAGAACCTGAACTTACAGAATCCTTCGTGGGAGGGAATGAGGTATCACCTTTTTTTCCGATTCCCTGGCACCCTAAACGCTAAACCCTGAAAAGTACTAAGTAGCCGAGCTGCATCGCAGCGCTCCGCGCGATGCGCGTGCCCTCGAGGTGGCGGGTGCCGCGCGCCAGGTGCTCCTCTCGATCTCGGGAGAAGGTGCAGGCTGTGGGGTTAAAAAAGGTTTTCAAGAGTTGGGAGGTTCCGCAAATTAGGGGTACCTTATTTTGGGGCTCTCGTAATAAGGATCCTACTATTTAGGGTACTATATTAGGGTCCCCTGTTTTCGGAAACTCCCAGTTTTGAAAGGTTTCAATGCTGCGTTTTGGGGCTTGTAGTTCAGGGCCTATTCAGGCTCCGGGTCTTTTATTTGGCATCTCCAGATCGCACGGGTTTTGGAGGTTTGGGGTTTTAGTCCAAAGACCTCGATGAAGAGCTTCAGTGCTTGGGGGCTTGAGGGCTTCACGTTAGGATTTTCTGGGGCTTGTCAACGGAGGCTTCGTACCGCCTGACTTTTTTGATTTTGTAGGGGGCTCTCTGGCTAAGTTGCTACCAAACCCCCACCTGTAGACCGACGTCGATATTTAAAAAGGACTAGAAACAAGGACATCGTAGTAAGGAGCCCCAAAGATGTAGACTTGTCGGGGTTGTTGGTCGATCCCAAAAGGATTGAGGTCTGCGAGGAAGCTAGCGCGCAGCCCTTAGGGAATGATAAGGCTTCATTGCCGAAGAGGCCGAGATAATCACACTTGGGTTTGCGGGGGCCTACAACTACAAATCTATTCGGGAACCCTCGAGAATGGTCATTAACACGAATTGTTGAACTTGTTCTGGGCGTTTTAGGTCCTTCAAACTGAGGTCTCGCGATTTTCTCGTTGTCCTTGGTCTGAGAGTGTCCCTATGAGGGTCCGTTTCAGAGGGGGTCTCTTTACCTGGCTAACGATGTAGGGACCAATAGATTCCGTGTAAGCCCTTTTCCAACCTGACAGCTTTACAAACTCCACTTCAGCCTCCCTGTCAAACACCGCGACAACCCTGTATGAAAGCCCCCAATGTAGGAACCTGATTAAGAAACCTTGGGTCCTTATTAGGGTTCTTGATATGGATCCTCATATATTGGGGCAAAAGGGCCAGGGTTTCTTAATCAGGCAGGTTCCTACATTACCAAAATCCTTCAACAGGCGAGGCATGCTTGGAGGATCATGGGACCTAGTAAGTAAGGTTATAGGTACCTTAATTGGGACTATAAGTATAGTTACCCTAATTATAACCCTTGTTACTAACTACCCATGATCCTTTAAGTAAATCCTATAATCCCTCTTACACTAGAACCCCTATAGATCCCTTTATAAGGATCGCTGTAAGGAGCCCTTTGTTATGAGTCCCATGATCCTTTAAGTACCAAAATCCTTCAGCAGGCAAGGCGTGGGTTTCTAGTTCATGGTTGGGATAGGATTAAAAATCTACGTTTTTATTCCTTATGGGGTTTAAGCACCCTTAAAAATGTAAAATGTTACCCAACTATGACACGGGTTCCTTGAAGAGACCGACCTCCCTCACGGTTTCGGAGCGGAGGCTCTGCCAAACCTGGCGGAGGGCCCCTGTTAAAGGAGGCCTTATAGGATCCCTTTAAAGGAACCCTAGGGAACCTTAACAGTGGCCCTAGGCATGACTCCCGTTTTAAAGGAACCCGGAAGCAGAACGAGCCTTCGGGCTAAGGCGCTTCAGAAAGGCCGGGCTTCACAGGGGAACATCAGCTTTGGCTAGGTGTGTGCTGACATGTCATAAATGCGGCTTTATGATTTCCTAAATGGGATCTTGTAAAGCTTCTATAGGATTTGGTTCTCCGTGTGGTAACAACATAGTGACAAAGCTGATGAAAGATCGCGAGTCTTCAAGGGTGAAGAGTACGTTCTCTTCGAAAGCGTGGTTCACAATGCACAACTAACGAAAGGTTGGATGGAAGCAGATGTACTATGTCGTATTCTATTCTATTCTACTTGGCTGCATATCCTGAAGTCTGCAGGGATGTGGTCTTGGATATTAAGCCCCAACCCTATTCTCTAGAACCCCATAAAAACTAAAATTCGAGATACTACGGTTGATGATATACATCCGGCATGACCCATAATAGGGAATATACCATAATTCCCATAGTTTAGGGTCCTGAAGGTAATGCAGGATATATATATATATATATATATATCATCATCATCATCATCATCATCATCATCAACCGTATCCCCTTGTAGTTACTGCATGCGCGCGATGCAGGCAATCGTCGACTGGGCCTTCTCCTGCGTCTCCAGGATCTGTTTGGCAGCCTCTGCCGGCAGTTTGTTGCCGACCCCGTACTTAGTAAGTACGGCTCTTTGGGTTTTATAGGACGTCTGGTGATATAAGATTTTCTGGATTGCTTGAAGGGTCCGGGGATCTAGTATGTGAGGTTTGGGACTGCTTCAGGAACGCTTATAATTACCGAAGATGACGATTCTCCGTAAAGAGCTGCGGGCGTTAGGTGGAGCTCAAAGAAATTTTGACCAACAATCTGCGTAAGGTCTCCGACTTCAGAGTTTAGGCTTTGGAGACAACGCCGGAAACCATACTCCGTCTCTCCTTGAAGGCTCATGGGTAGTTATAAGGGGGGTTATAAGTCCCCTAATAGGGGTTATAAAGTTATAATTATGGTTACCCTACTTATAACCCACTTACAACTACCCATGAACCTCCAAGTAGGCCCTAAAGCCTATACCCCTATAGAATCCCTATAGATCCCTTTAAAGGGACCCTTAAAGGAGCCCTTATAACTACCCATGAACCTCCAAGTATGCGGCGCGGATGGGTGCGTCCTTTGATCGAAGCAACCCGGCCCTGAAAGCTGACATAGTGGGGCTGAAGGGTTACAGGTTTAGGGTTTTAGGGTTTGTGGGTTCAAATTTTGGGGTTTAGGGTTTAGGGGGGCGGGGTTTTAGGGTTTTGGGGGTTTAAATTTTGGGGTTTAGGGTCTAGGGGGCGGAAGGGTTGCGCAAAAGGTACACGCTTGTCGCTTCAAAGCTTTGGAGAAGCCTCCCAATGCAACAGCAAGGGGCCAGTTATGCCTACATGCACGCACAACTAAGCATTAACATCTCGCACTTCGACATCTGATTCTTGAACTGCAGAGTTTAAGCGACTTCAAGAACGCAACATTGCTAGTAGAAATCAGAAATCGCTACAGAGCTGTCTACAACACTATGCATCCTCCTAACAGTGCAGCACCCAACACGTTCTCATAATCCGGCAATGGCCTTGAACTTTTTCCCCAGCCCCCAAAGCCCCAACACTTACCTTGGGTTAGTAGGGAATGGAGGAATGGGGTACAAATATAACTACTATTACTACCATTCTTCCATTCCCTGCTATCTAAAGGTAAGAACAGCTGCAGAGCGAAACAGCCTCAACACCATCGGTGCCTGTGCACGGAGCTCCAGGCTGGAGGACATTGAGAGGGTGATCTTTACTGTCTAGCAGCAGGAGTGGGAGTAGAAGTAGGCGTAGTAGATGATATCTTACTTACTAATACCAAGCTGTCGTGATTAAGTCAGTAATATAACAACAAGATTAGCAGTCGTAGTCGTAGTAGTAGTAGCAGTAGTAGTAGTAGTAGTCGTAGTGGTAGTGGTGATGGTAGTGGTAGTGGTGCTGGTACTAATGCTAGGAGCAGGAATAGGAGTAGGAGGAGGAGGAGTAGCAGCAATAGTAGTCGCGTCGTCCTGGTCGTCGCCCGCATATACTTATCCTCGGTGCCGCACGATCTTTCATATTTCTGTTTTTGTGCTGTTTCAGGCTTCGTGCTTCCGGCTCCGACAGATGTCGGCTCTCCTCTGGCTGAAGGAGACATGCGAAACATGGACAATCTCTGGTTTCCATTTCAATTCTTTGGGCTTGGATGTCTCTGGTCGACGCTGGATGCTCAAATGCCTCAAGCCTTACTGAACGTTTTCTCTCGCAAGCCTGCGCCTTCAGTGTCAAACTACTTAGACCAATCCCCGAAATCGTTTTGCCCTGAACCACATCATGTGCAGAATGGAGGCTCGGCACCTGCGTCCTGCGGTGGCCATGTCTTCGGAAGGCCTGGTACGACCTGCTTCGGGTGTAGTAGTATACTGGCAATCATAAGAGCAAGAGTAAGAAGCAGTTGAGGCAGTGTTAGTAGTGGTAGCAATAGTAGTGGTAGTTGCTGTAGTAGTAGCAGCAACAGGAGTAGTAGTAGTAGCAGTAGTAGTAGCAGTAGTAGTAGTAGTAGTAGTAGTAGCAGTAGTAGTAGTAGTAGTCGTAGTAGTAGTAGTAGTAGTAGCAGTAGTGGTAGTAGTAGTGGTAGCGGTAATAGTGGTAGTAGTAGTAGGACGCGCTCTGCTGGTATTTCACGCCGTGGTTTTTGTTCTAGTAGTAGTACTAGTGGTACGAGTAGTAGTAGTAGTAGTAGTAGTAGTAGTAGTAGTAGCAGTAGTAGTCGTCGTCGTAGTAGCAGCAGCAGCAGCAGTAGTAGTAGTAGTAGGGGCAGCAGCAGCAGGTATAAGGGCCGTAATAATTCTACAAGGGTTTCAGATTGTAGTATATGAGACTAAAGGTCATATGACTCATATGACATTGATTTCTTTCTAAATCCTTTTGGAACCCTATAAAGCCCCTTATAAACCACCCTATAAAACAGTAAAATAAAGGGGTGTCTTTGGCTCTTATATAAGGATTTGGGATCCGGAGATGTCGCCGAAGACAGAACAACATTGATGATATTAACTATAACAACCATTATCAAAACCAGAATAGAAGTCACAACAACAAGTATAATACCCATTTTAATGACGGGTGGTATCAACTTCAGTAGCAATACAGCAATGAAAATAATTCTGATAATAAGCAACATCATCAAACTCATAAGAAGCATAAATGAAACATCAACCTAATATTCATACTCGTGGTAATAATGCTCATGATAATGGATAACAGTATTATCAAGAAAAACTCAAGAATAAGACTAAACAGTGTGTGTAGAAAGGTAAAAAAAGATAGATAGATACACAAACAGACAGACGGACAGATAGTGAAAGTGGACTTTGGCTTTGCAGGATTTCACTCGTTCTCTAAACGAGGGGTGCCTTTGCGGTTCCACGAAAGAGTGCAGTAGCTTATGAGAAGCACCTCAAAACGGACCCTAGTTCACAGAGCCCCCCCTGCCCCACTTGAAGGGCCCCGAATGTGCGATATATTGCGCATGACGAGGTCCTTTTAGGGTTATTGGGCATTTTTTTGATTCACACTCAGTGTGCTGCGAAGAGCCTCGGCGATTCGCAAATCAGCGATTCGCAAATCTCTGCCACTTCCAGCTCTAACTCGGACTGCTCCAATCTGGGCTTTTTATAAAGGTGCCTTTGCCAGTAGGCGTCTCGAATAGTACAGACCCTCGAAACCCCAACGTGAACATGCCCCCAAATAGGTCGACCGACGCCGCTGGTGAATTCCCAAACCCCTTGAACCTTACGCCACATTAAGCTGAATGCCCGAAGCCGCCTGCCCTTTCAGTTTCTCGGCCACGGCCGTCGCGCGACTGGCATTGCAGAACATCGTGTGTGCGAGTCCCCAAATTAGGGTCGCCTTTTGGGTCTCTTTCAGAGTATGTGCCACTCTTGTGACAAGGAAGCTACCTGGATGGAACCCTGGTTTACAACACGATCCGCAACTTGCTGGTCGACATCTTTCGGGAGGCGGACCTAAATTTTAATTAAATCGGACTCTCCATTTCGCATGAATTTCCTATGCTTTTAACATCGTTGGGCCGGCATTTCTTGAAGAATTTTGAGCAATGACGCCACCGTCAATATTACACTATGCGTGTGCTGTTACCCTTACTGTTTCTCAGGCTGGTGCCAGACGTGCCCTTCCACTGCCGCAGCCACCTGCTGCTGCTGTTGACACAAGAAACCTTGCATCGATTTCTGCGGAGTTCACGTTCCCCATGATCTCGATATTAAGCTCAGAACAACTGCAGACAGGACGCCGCGAATGACAAAACTCCTGCATGATGTCAGATCCTTGCGCACGATGGTGCTCGCTAAGGCCTCCATGCAGGATTTTTACCATGCGCCGTACTTGTTATAAGGGCACCAAAGTAAGGTACCCCCCCAATTTTCGGAAACTCCCAAACCCTAAACCCTAAAGATCCCTTTAAGGAACCCTGATAGGATCCCTTCAAAGGTGCCCCTAAATTTCGGAATCTCCCCTCTAACCCTTTCAGAAAGTCCACGAGGAAGTCCCACTGCAACCACAGGTACGAGGATCCTACTATTTAGGGTACTATATTAGGGTCCCCTCTTTTCTGAAACTCCCAAGTAGGATATGGATCCTTATTATAAGGGCCCCAAAACCACTGCAACCACAGGTCGGGGAGTGCTCGCTGGACTCGCAGACCACGAGGCAGCAGGGGGGAGCTTCAGGCTCCTCCTTTGTACTTGGAGGCTCATGGGTAGTTATAAGTGGGGTTATAAGTCCCCTAACATGGGTTATGATTATGGTTACCCTAATCATAGCCCCACTTGTAACTACCCATGAACCTCCAAGTATGATCTTTACGGGGGGTGTTGAGGGAGGCAGTGGTTCGCAGGGTTTGCCACCGTTTTTGGGGCGTGCATTGAGCAAGATAGATAGGGTTTCATGAAGTTTTCCTTAACTATTTTACAACTGCGTTTCGAACTCGTTTATGAAGGCGTTGATACATCAAGGATCATGGAACTTAGTAACTAGGGTTATAATGCGGGTAACTATACTTATAGCCCCCAATTAAGGTACTTATAACCTTACTTGCTAAGTCCCATGACCCTCCAAGTACCGTAGGCTACATATTACCTCAGGGCGTTTTTACACTTTTGGACTTCGAGGCTCTTGGCTCACATGTAAGAAGCCAGGACTTTGGAGCCTCGTTGCTTTGGGCCCCCAGTTTCGGAGGCTGTGTTCTGTAATAATGTAGAGTTTGAGCACGGCATGTGTTGTGGGGTACTTATTTGCAAAGGGATGATGAGGGCGTGAGATTTTCACCGTCTTATGAAGGTATCAGGTGTAAGCCTGTCTCGTGGTGCTACGTGGTCTCTTGTTGCACAAGCTGTTTGCAAGCTTACCTTTGGTTAGTAGGGAACGGAGGAATGGGGTACACTTATAACTACTATTATTTCCATATTACTATCATATTACGACCATATAACTAGCTCGAATGGGGGGAGTTGCTGCAGCCTTCGCGAGTCCAACTTCCGGCCCCAGGTCGAGAGCCAGGACCTGGGCCTGCTGCCCTGGCTGCACAACAAGTGCTTAAAGGATCATGGGACTTAGTAACTAAGGTTATAATTAGGGTAGCTATACTTATAACCCCAATTAAGGTACTTATAACCTTACTTACTAAGTCCCATGACCCTCCAAGTGCCCTAGACGAGCTATGGTCTCGAGGACCCGTTGCTCGGCGATTCTGGAGCTTGTGCCATGCTCTTTGGCCGTTTGCTGACACGTGCGGTCTTGAGACCTACTCCTGCACACGGCCTACTTTGCCGCACGTCATCACTTGGGGGATGAGACAGCGACACCGTGCGAGCATGTGGCACGCGCATCGAATTTGCAAGCAGAGACAGTCATGTAATGGGTACAAGTGGAGCAAGCCCCCAGTCTGTGTGAGGGCATGCTGGGCACTGACGGTGGGATAGAGTGCTGGAGTAGATCATTCCCACTTGCATGCATGGACGAGGTTACGCCCGATATGCAACAGCAGAACAGAAGCCGACAGGTTGCCACACCAGACTAGTATCAGGGAATAAGGTTTTCGGGGGGGAGAACCTTGTGTTGTAACCTCTCGTACCAATAGAGGAACTTTTTGGCAATGTCACAAACTACCTCTTCAGCCCCTTATCTTCAGCAACGACGGTGTAGAAATGAAGTAGAAAGATCATAATTCAGCGACATTCACGAACACAGGCCATGATTACCATCATCAAGCCCTCCAACCTAAACCCCTCCCCCAAGGGATTCCGGGAACCCTAAACCCCTCCCCCAAGGGATTCCGGGAACCCTAAACCCCTCCCCCAAGGGATTCCGGGAACCCTAAACCCCTCTCCCAAGGGATTCCGAGAACGGGCCTCAGCCTTGGCAGGCTTCTCGGCGGGAGGTTCCAGGATTCCGTCTGAGAACATCTTCCGCCTTGGAGGGCTCAACATGTGCTCTCGGTTGTAAGTTTTCGATGCCTCGTATAGGGTTTAGGGTTTAAAACCCACACATACCAAACCAACAGCAAGATTGGATGCCAATTGGACGCCACGACTAGCGCAATCCCATCTCTCTGAGAATGGTGCCACGGAGTCTTTCCAGGCGGATTCTCTTTGTTCTCCTTGCCGCTGCATGCCCCCGGAAGCCCACATGTTCTGCGGGACCCGACTCAGATTCCTTCTAGGGGCATGGTGTCACCGTGGGCGGATGGAATCGACTTCATCTTGCTGATCTTCCCCCTCCCCATTGCATAGTTTTTGATACGGGCCCAGGCCATAATCACCAATTTGTTCAATGCCTACTGGGACCTGCATTTCGTGTCGAAGAAGCAGATGATCTCAACACACGATTGCTTGCGAGGATCAAAGGGGAAAAGGAGGGACCCTTAATGGGGACCCTACTACCCTATAATGGGCCATACAATGGGTATATAATGGCTATACCCTTGGAGAGGATGAAGCCCCATGCCTCGCTAGGTAACAGCAGGAGGGTGCAAGCCAGGTTTTCAGGCCGCGATATCGACGCCTGAGGTGGGCGGAAAACCGTTTAGGGTGGGCTTGGGGGTAGATTGGCGTACCGAAATGAGGGTGTTCCTAAGTTCCGCTTGGACCACAGTAAATGCGTGATCGTGAAAAACAAATCCGATGAGTCTTTCCCTCTCACGCACCCTGGTGCATCATCATTCCCGTGGCATGCAGTTCGCAACCGCTCCTACTGCTTGCACAGACACATCACAGGTCCACACCCGTGTCGCCTGTGGCATGCACGGCTGTTTGAGGCTCTCTGGTCTGGGTATAGAAAGGAGCGACAGAAGCTGGCAACGAGTCTCAAAACCTTACACGTGGCCCATGGGGGAGCACATGTACACAGACCACACAACATCTCTATCACACGTCTGGTGCACATCATGTCAGAATTTCAAAACACTCAAAACACAATGCAAGCTCCATGCATCGCCTACTGGCAGAGACAAACATGCGCCGTCCTTGAAAGACACAGACCAGCGAATGCGCAACACTCCTACAGCTCCAGCTCCCTCTCAATCTTTAAGAACCTAAATCAAAGTTCTTTACACGGAGAAGCATGAGCACGCCCGTCTTCCTTAAGAACTGGAGCTCCAGAAGAAACCACTACAAGTAGCGTTCGCCCTAGCCTCGGAAGTGGATGTCGCTCGACGAACATGATGTATACTGCATGCATGCATATCCATAATATATATATATATATATGTAGATATACAAATGTGTCCAAAGGTCTATGGGTCTCTCCGTCTTTCTGTCTGTCTGTCCGTCTGTCTCTGTCTGTCGGCAGGTAGATAGCTGCGTAGGTAGGTATGTACCTATGCACGAATGTACGCATGTATGAGTCTTTGTTGTCCATTCCTTGTGCCCATCATTCAGGCTTAGGCCCCCAATGAAGGGGTGTTTGCAAGTGTACTTTCCGGCAGTCAGGATGAAACTGGTCCTTCTCCTTCTCGTCGGTCTCAGCGGTAAGGGCAAGCACCTGCAGGCATTGCCGATCCCCAAAAAAGTCATGTTGCACCTCTGACTGTTTATGTTCCGACAACGCGCTCCTGCGCATCCATGCAGATCACATTTCCGAGTGTTCGCAAAGCTCACAAGTCGCGACTGCCCGGCAAAGTTGCTATAGAACCTGCAGCCACTGGTTCTGGGCATCAGAGGTCCTAGACTCGCAACACGTTCAAACGAAGGTCACTCATGGGACCAAACTTGATGCTGACACACCTTGTAAACCGATTGTTGGGGGAATCTAGGCATCCAGTCAGGTCAAGTATACAAGGCACATGAATCACTAGGATGCATGGCCCAATCCCAGGCCTCCCCCCAAAACGTATCACCAATGTAAACCCCGATGATAATCTTGGAAAACCTCTCCAACATGTTCAATCCGCTTAACCAGCACAAAAAAGCCCCACAAAACCTCCAACCCTGTCGAAATGCCGTTACAAACCAAACCCTAAAGCTAACACCCTAAACCCTAAACCCTGAACTCTAATGAACTCTAACACGCTAAAACCCTAAACCCTAAGGGTGGCAACCTGCTCACTGGCGCTCTGAGCCCCAAACCTCAAGACTCTAAAAACAAGGAGTTTGGAACCTACGTGGGTTCATGGATAGTTAAAAGTGGAGTTACACGTAGGATAGCCCTAGTTACAGACCATATTAGGGGACTTGAAACCCCACTTATAACTACCCTAGACCCTAATCCCTAAGCCCTATGAAACCCTTACAGGAACCCTGACCCCTTAAGATCCCCACTTATAACTACCCATGAACCTCCAAGTGCAGGAGCCTCATGGAACCATAAAGGAAACCTCTCCCTTTGAGGGATTTAAAGGTTCCTTTAAGGAATCCTTTCACGGTTCCTTAAAGGAACCCCGTTTAAAGAGCCATGCCCTCATGACATTATAGTAAGCATTAGAAGCCCTTAGTTTATCATTAAAACCTTATGAAACATGATTAAAGCCCATATACTACCCAACAAAGCATGATAGTAACCCTTATAGGGAGTTTTCGAAAATAGGGAACCTACTATAGTACCCAAAATAGTAGGATCCTTAAAATAAGGACACCTAAAACAAGGCACACCTTTCTTCCGGAAACTGCCTTATAAGGCCCCTATAGATCCCTTAAAGGAACCCTGATAGTACCCCTTTAAGGTGCCTACTTGGAGGTTCATGGGTAGCGCTGTAAAATTCCCTGATATGGGTTATAATTATGGTTACCCTACTTATAACCCCACTTATAACTACCCATGAACCTCCAAATTCAAAGTAAGGCACCTACCAGTCTATGCCCTTCAAGAACTACCCTAAAACCCTAAACCCTATAACTAGAACCCTCAAAAGAACCCTGAACCGTAAACCCTATAGAAACCTTATAGTACCCTTCTACGCTCTTCAAGAAATCCGATGCCTCGCCGGAGAGCCGCTGCTTGCGCAGGGCAGTTTCCGCCTCTCGGCGCCTCAGCGGAACCTCTCGCAGGGTTGCTTAGGGTTCTTGGGGTTTTAGGGTTCTAGGGTTTTAGGGGGTTAGGGTTTTTAGGGGTTTCGGGTTTAAGACTTTTTTTTTGCTTTTGGGGCTGGTGCCGAAAGACTTCCTTACCAGGTTTCTTTTGGGTTTATGGTTTTGGGTTGAGGGTTTCGGGTTTTGGGGTTTAGGGTTTCGGGGTTTGGGGTTTTGGGGTTTTGGGGTTTAAGGCTTCCTTTGGGTTCCTGCATTTGGGGTGGGGTTTTAAGCTCATTTAAGGCTCCGATATCGGATCTTAGGCTTCCGGCTTTCAGTTTGGGGTTTAGGTTGGGCACAGCCCCCACTCAGTAATTGAATAAGATTCATAGTATAGATATATCAGGACCTTAACAGTAGCCCTATTATAGACTCTTACTGTATGGGGGCAGTACCTAAGGTTTAGGGTTCAGGATATCGGATCTAGGGTTTTTTAAGGGCTCCTGGGTGCTCGGGGGCTTTTCAGACAGAGTTTGATAGGGCGTATTGCGCAGGTGTGTGGGGACAGTGCTTCAAGAAGTGGTTTAAGGGCGGCTTGGTGGGTTTAAGCATGCTTTCAATGCATCGAGCTGGGTTATGGTTGTAAGTCGGCACTGTTCAGATTCTACAGGCTGGAATGGGTTGTTGGGATCAGGATAGAGATCTACAGCTGAGGCTTACCTAGGGCTTCAGATTGAAGTCTACTTCTTTGAAGTGTCGCAGGTTCCGTGGGTTTAAGCCAGTTTAAGCTTGGGCTTTCGGGATTTTCATGTAGGACGTACTGTAAGGGTGCCGGAGGAGAGGATCATGCCTTCCATGGTGACAACCTACACCCCCAAGTCAGTGAACTCGCAGCCCTACACGCCTACACTCTAAGACTTCGTCAGGGTGTACGTACCTTACTTCATTCTTACTCTGCTTGCAACCCTACGTGCTAAGAACCCTGGGACTGCAATAAGCCCTAACGCCCCCTCAACTCCTCAAGACCTGAAACCACGGCCTCTAGACGTCAACCTCGCGACAAGGTTCCCGAAACTCTACATCCCACAACCCTACCAAGCCCTATAAAACCCGTACCTAAAGTTGCCCAACTCATGGAAACCTTTTGACCTAACACGCAAAACCTTCAACCCTCAACCCCAAACCCTGTTAAACTAGAGCACGACACCTCCACCAGGTGATCTGAAAGCTAACTTCTGGAAGCGGTTCCTATTCAAAGGGCTCGGGGACAGTCTATATCCCAAAACCCTTAGTTGGAAGCATATTGGGATGATCTAGAGGTTATAATACCCCAAAAAGCTTAAAGGTTACCTACTCCTTGGGTACGGCCCCCACTCAGTAATAGTTGAATACTATTCATAATATAGATATATTAGGACCTCAATAGTAGCCCTATTATACACTCTTACTGTATGGGCGCAGTACCTAACCTACTCCACTACCAGGCGAAGTAATTTCCCAAGAGCCTCGACCAGGTGATCCCGACCGGCGAAAGGCGCTGGGCGAAGCGCCCCTTCCCGATGCCCCAAGTGGGAGTTTCCGACACTTAGGGGTACCTTATTTCGGGGTCCTTATAATAAGGATTCTACTATTTAGGCCAAGTGCTCTCGACTCGGGGGTGTGGCAAAGCGCAGCAAAGGTGCAATGGGTTAATTTGACACACGACTTGTATATGTGTTGTGCAAGGATGCTTTGTCAGTCTTGTGGCGGTATTATGAGGTTGGGCAAGGCTAGGGCCAAGGTATGTCGGAATCGGTGTTTCGGGTGTGTGCTCGGGTCAGCTATGTAGACTTGCTTGCTGGGTACATAGGAGACACTATGCAAGCACGCATATTGCCCACTTCTTCCCCTGCAGCAGTCTCCAAAACAACAGAGACAAGCTTAAGCCCCCTAAACCCCAGATCCCCGCAAGCGTAGACCCTGGACAGAAAACCTCCCATGTAGCAGCATACAGCCTTATAGAAATCCCATCCACAACTCCACATGCCCCGGACACAAAGGATCATAGGAGGGCCTCGCCCGAAGAGCACCACGTCTCGCACAAAGAAAGGCCCTGGAGCCTTGCACGTGCCAAGCTATCTTGGCCACTGGGCTGCAGGAGGCTTGAAGAGATTTAGGGCGTAGAGTTGCAGATTTTGCGGGCGGCCGGTGTGCTCGGGCCTGCTAGTTTCCTTCGGCCTTTTAGTGGTTGCTTCGACGAGAAGCCTCGACCGTTTCAGCCTGCTGGCTGCCGCGGCATGCAACGAACTTGAACCAGTTGTCAGAAAGGACTATCATTGAAAGCAAACGGCCAGGCCCCTCCACTTGGAGGTTCGTGCGTAGTTATAAGTGGGGTTACAAGTACCCTAATATGGGCTATAATTATAGTTACCAGACTTATAACACCACTTATAACTACCCATGAACCTCCAAGTAGGTCCTAAACCCTACACCCTTATAGAATCCCATTCTAGATCCCTTTAAAGGGACCCTTAAAGGAACCCTTATAGTTTCCTGGCTTCCCAGTGAGCATGATTTTCCGGAGCAGCTGCGTTGAGGCAACGGCCCCTGCTGGCAAACCAAATCCGAGCATCTGGCGAGGCAGGAATCCGAAAGGAAGATGGGGCGTTGGTTGAAGGTTCATAAGGGCATTTTGGGGTTCCTATAAGGGATACTATAAGGATTCTATAATGGTTCCCATAAGAGTTACTATAAAGATTCTATAATGGCTAGTATGAGGGGTCTACTTGAAGGTTCATGGGTAGTTATAAGTCCCGCAAGGGCTCTACAGGGTCTAGGGTTTAGGGGTTTAGGGTAGTTATAAGTGGGGTTGTAAGTCCCCTAATGTGTGTTATAATTATAGTTACCCTACTTATAAGCCAAGTGGTTGTGGTGCTCTGGTGCTCGGGAGCATGGCTTCACTGTCGGCGGATGGGCACCATGAATTTATCCTTCAAAGCACTGCCTACTCAGGTGCAAATTTATAAGACGAGACTCAATCCTGACACAACCTTCGCCTAGTACAGCAAAGCCCCTCAGTAGAGCCCCCATCGTGTGCGGGCCTTTGGAAAGCTGGCGAGCCGTGCGGAGAAGAAGCGCTTCTCTGGAAAGATGTCCAAACCTGAGGGTTCAAACTTCAAACACAAAATCACTGCCATCGACACTACCCATAGCCCCAAACAGCGATTCACCGCCGGCAAAACCACCAAAACATCAGCCAACAACTACAAGCAACATCCCAGCTATCATGACCAGGACCATCGCAACGACTCGCCAGATGTGGCCGAAAGCTGGACCCAGAGACTCCAATATCCCTTAAGTAAGGAAGATACCTTGAATAATAGTAAGACCCCGAATATGATCTAAGGAGTATACCTTAATTAAGGGATATTGGAGTCTCTGGGGATGCAGTTCACCCGTGCCTGCTTGAAGGTAGTTCTTCCCGTCCTCTCGGCCAACGAAACCTCCAGTTCACTCAGGGCAGGGCAGGGCAGGGAAGGGTAGGGCAGGGTAGGGTAGGGAAGTATAGGGTAGGGTGGGGTAGTGGTAGTGGTAGGGTAGGGTAGGGTGGTGTGGCGGGTAGGGTAGGTAGTAGTAGGCCAGTAGGCAGGACTGACACTCGAGCTCTTCGTTTCATGATTCCTACAGGTGTCACTGGCATGGTTCTCTGTGTTCTGCGAGGTTGGGCCCAAGATTCCCGAAAGCCCCAAACCCTGAACCCCAAAAGCCCCAAACCCCCAATCCCCAAAGCCGTCAACACCAAAAAGGTCGAACCCCAAAGCCTGAGACCTCAAAACCCTCACGCCTTCGAACACCCCGTCTGAGCCGTCGGCAGGCCAGCCAGAAGACCGTGTGACGGTCGCAGGACCAAGGCAGCGGCCTCTACAAGGCCGTATTGATAGTAACAGTTGCCGCAATAGTAATAGTACTGTGATCATAGTGGACATGCTAATGATTGAGTGACCAGCAGAATGGCGTCTACAGGCTTAGGGTTTACAGGTTAGCAGAATCGCGATTTAGGGATGTATAGCATACACAAACATGTGTGGCAACCCTCAGTACTGTGGGGGCCTGAATAATTACCCATACTATTTTGGGTGTTCCTTGTTATATTTATTACGACCCCTATACGAATAGTTTCAGACCCTGCATTGGTCTGCTTTGGTCGTGAGAGGGAGCGTCAAGAACGTTGTCAGGAAACCCGAGGCCCAAGGTCTATAAAGCTTCAGGTTTCAGAGTTTAAGGGGGAGGTTTTCTTTTTTAAAGTGCACTAGCCCCTTTCTCCACTGTGCAGAGTCCGAAACTCGGGTGGAGGGCTTAGGGTTTGGGGTTTTGAGGGTTTAGGGTTTAGGGGTTAAGGGTAGGGCCTTGGGGGTTTGATGCCTTTCGGGGGGGAGTTCTGGGTGCCGGGTTTAGTGGTTCCAGATATCTTATTCATAGCAGGAATAAAAACAAAAAATACTAACTAGTGATAGCACCAGTGATGGTAATGGTAATAGCAACAGCAGTAGCAATCGCGACAGTAATAGTATCAGAAAGAGTCGCAGTAACAGTAATAGGAAGAGTAACAGTAATGGCAATAGCAACAGTAAGACAGAGTAACAGTAACACTCATGGTAAAAGTCCTAGCCACTTTGTGGATGGAGGAAATCCTGCGGAAGTTCGAACAAACCAGCAACGAGAGTACCCCGCGCCCGCTGTTTAACATTGACGTCCGATCCTGGTACTTAAAGGATCATAGGACTGAGTAACTAGGGTTATAATTAGGGTAACTATACTTATAACCCAATTAAGGTACTTACAACCCTACTTACCAAGTCCCATGATCCTCCAAGTAAGAAACAGGGCCTGGGGGGTCCAGGTGATACTTGGAGGATCATGGGACTTAGTAGCTCCTTTAAGGGTACCATAGGCTTCCTTAAAGGGATCCTCAAAGGGTTCTATAAGGGTTCTACAATGGAGGATCATGGGACTTAGTAAGTAGGGTTATAAGTATTAATTGGGGTTATGAGTATAGCCATCCTAATTATAAGCCCAGTTACTAAGTCCCATCCATGATCCTTTAAGTAGGCGGTGCCGTGAACCAGCATGTGGGTGGTGCAGAATTTCCTCCATCCACCGTAGTGATAGGAATGGTAACCGTTTGATTGAAGCTCGTGGACAACATAAACCCACCTTTTGGAAGGCATCTATACTTTTCCCGGTCTTAAGGAAGAGTTTTGTCTCTGATGCTGGAACCACAGGATTTTGGAACACCAAGCTGGGGACTAATAGTAAGTACCAGCAGCACAGCAGCAGTTACAGTGACAATCATCATCGATAGTAGCTGCAAAAGTCCTCACGACAGCAACAGTTGCAGAAACAACAACGTGTCTTGCTACGTGAATAATGACCACAACAAACATTCGTTTTAAAGTATGCGGATAGTTATGAACCCCTGCACCCCGTTGGGTCCTTTTTGACGCCTTCAGAACCTAAACACTAAAGCCCTACACAAAACCCTAAACCCTCAGCCTCTAAACTCCCAGCCGGACCTCCAAGTCGCGGAGCTCATCTTAGCCACCCGCGCGAAGCGATAGTCCCACTTCCTGCAGGGCTTGGGGCTTCTTTAAGCGGTCTTATGGTGTGGGCGTTAAGGTTTTGCGTGCATCTGTCGGGGATCTTTTTCAAGGGGTTGGGGTTTCTCAAGCTGAAGCTCCTTGGGGCAGGTTTCGAGTTGCTTCCAGGGGTTGGTTGTAGAGGGTTGAGGGACTGTAGCCACTTCGGGTTTACGGCTTCAGGGTTGTACTTAGAGGTCATGGGTAGTTATAAGTGGGGTTATAAGTAGGGTAGCTATAATCATAACCCACATTATGGTACTTATAACCCCACTTATAATTACCCATGAACCTCCAAGTAAGGTCATCGGTCTTTGGGGCTTCCGAGGGTATTTGTAGGAGAGACGGGGATGTAGGCTGTAAGGTTTCGGGATGGAGCGTAGTCCAACAAGGCCTACTGCGCAGCGAAACCTGAAGCTTCCTGTAGGGATACCATAAGGATTTCATAATGGTTCTATAATGGTCCTATACCGGTTCTACAATGGCTCTATAAGGGTTCTAAAATGGTTCATGGTTCTTCTGGGTTTAGGCTTTCAGGGTCCATGTACCCATGTAGTTATACTGGATGCTTCACGACGTGGCTCTTGGTTTGCAGCACTCATCAGAGCAGCTGAGCTGCCTCTCTTCCTCGGCGAGGCGGAATTCGAGCACGTATGGCTCCTTCCCAAAAGAGGCAAGGGTATGCCAGGGTCTAGGACCTTGCTTTTTGTTTGGGGTTACGGGGTGAAGGATCTGAACGGCTTAGCGGCTTAACATTGGGAAGAGCCCAAACAAAAATGTACACAGGGAATGCATGGCAGATTTCGTGCAAGAATCTGGGGGGCGAATCTGTTCGTCAAGCCGTAATGTACTACTGGGGTCTAAATAATTACAGTATCTATACTATTTGGGGGGGTTCCTATTATAGTTACAGTATAATGGGCCCCCAAACTCTATTCTAATCATGAAGGCCTCTATATTACTTGGAAAGATCGGCAACAGACAGAGAGGCCAAGACCCATAGTCCAGCGAGACAAAGCTTGCATGACAATGCGAAGGCCTAACTAATTCAAGCAAGCTTCCTCAGCTGAGAAGCCTACAAGAAACCATGCAATGCCGCACACAAGCCCCATGCACAACCCGAGAGTCGTAATCGACCTAAACCCTACATTCCGTTATGACCCGGCCCTAACCTAAACCCTGCACTCCTTAATCCCTACCCGTAATGCTGCCGTCAGACCGAGGATTCTTCGTTAAACCTGCAGGAGAAAGCCCAGGTTTGGACCTCGCCAGCGCCGCTGCGGCCCGAAAGCCAGCGCCGCATGTCCTGAAAGACCACGTGTTCAGGATTGTTCTGGGCTCTGTCAAGGTGTGGGTGGTGCTACAGGGGTTACTTTAAGGCTCTAAGGGTTACTCTTGGGTTTAAGGTTGGTATGGGGTACCATCAGGGGTACTTTGCGGGGCACTCCAGAGGTATATTAGGGTCTGTGTTGACAAGGCAACAATGGTGATCATTGTGCTGATGACGGTGATCATGCTGACGATCACGTGATCATCATCTTTTCTACTGTAACTGTTGTCAACGCCACTTGAATGGCTTCGGGACTTATTCTAAAACTATGGTTCAGTGGTGTCAACATAACAAATACTTGTAGACCCTGGACCCGCCATGGCTTCTTGGGGTTCCTAAGGCTTTATAGTTTTAGTAGAATATATATTACCTGTAACAAGAATGGGTCCAAGAGTATTCGGAAGCCTGAAGCCTGTGATGCGATCGGATGTTCCGATTGCAGCGTGACAGAAACACCAGCCACCCGCCCCGGAAACTACCGAAATCCGAACAACGTGCGCTTTGCAGGGGCACTAGAAGGTCATGTAAATTTTCGAAAGCACCGCTGACATAGTAAAGGGGGGCTTGTGCGCTGGGCAGCCACAGTTGCAACTATTCAGAACCGCAGTTGAGGTCTTCATATCCCTACATCGAACTTCCCGGGACCCCTAAAGCTTGAGTGACTCAGCCCTGAACCCTTTCAACTCCAAAACCTGTCTGAATAAACCCTTACACCCCCGACCTCTCCGCGCATGATCCTCCGAGCAAACTCGAAAGCAATCGTTTTCAGCCTACCCCTGTTGCAACCGTAGGTCTCACTGCTTTTCCAGAAGGCCAAAGCCTCCTTACACTCGGAAGGCTCGTGAGGGGGAGGTAGGTGTGTGTGTGTGTGTGTGTAGTTGCCCTGGCGCTTCTGTTGAATTTGTCAAAAGTTCTTCTGGGTATTTTCTGGGTTTTCGGACTTAGAGTGCGGTGGGGGGAGGGGAGCTTGATTTCGTTGTTGGTCCACTGCCTTGTTTTTGGCAGTTGTGCAATTGGACGCCGTGCAAGGGATTACACTTTCCGCCCGCGAGGGTCGGGGAGGGTCGGCTGCCGTGATTCGGGAGGTAGCCAAATTCAACGATATTTATTATTTTTTTGCATGTTCGATTGGCCGGGCCTTTTCGCTTCTGTTCGGGGGTGGGTGCCCAAATCGTGACAGCGTCCTGCTCCCAAAGGTAGAAGTGGCAAGTGCAGTCTCGCTTGGGCTTGCTGCCAGAACCAGCCTTGTAAGTGTCGGTCTCGGTGCACATTGTCCTGAGGAAAGCGAACTGCCGGGACAGCAAAAAGTTCACGAGGTACCATGCAGTGGGTGATGCCACTGCTGAGCATGCTCTAGCAGGGCAACACGGAACCGGGCCCCGGCCGCTTCGGGCCGTGGTAGCCACGAGAGGTCCTGCCAAAGCACAACCGGTCCGAAAGCAAGCCGTTCAAGCGAGCAGAAACGAAGCAGCTGAGCCTCGGCCCTGGCCAGTCGGCGCTTTTTCTTCTCGCTGCCGTTGGTCTGTCGTGCCTGCTGCAGGAGGAAGAAGCTGCCTTGTGCATCTTCCCGCGCACGATGCTTCTTCCAAGACAGCAGATCTACATTACCTTCTCACCCTTGAGGATGTGTTGGTCCAAATGCGTGGCTACGTCCGGCCAGTCTTGAACATATTCGCCTCTCTTTTCCACGTTCCGGATTCCGGAGCTGTCGGAGGTACGTGAATAGTCGCAAATTACCAAAGCCTGCATTTACTTTGGGTTTTACCTTTATTCCGCTCAACAAAGGCAACGGCCCGTTCACAGACATTGTTCACCTGAAGGAGCCTTAGTCGAGGCGACCCAGCGCAAGCCTGATCTTGGCTTTCCTTCCCCAAAGCCCCGGCGGTTTTGGCAGATCCGGGGTCGCCAGCATGGCTCCGGCTGCGGCGCCAACGATCGCCACCATCCCAAGCAACCCCACGAACACCAGCACTTACAGTAAGCTTTCGTCATCACAAAAGGTGCTGCAAATCCTACCTGTCTCAGAAGTGCTGCGTGTGATCCTGGCAATTGTAGGTCACCTGCATATGATCCTGGCAATTGTAGGTCACCTTGTTGTAGTTGGACTCGGGCCGCTCTGGATAGTTTGGCATGTGCTCAGTGTAACCGTTGCGAAGCTCTGCCCTTCGCACTGTGCCAGCTTTCTTGTGGCGCACTGCCGGCGGCAGTCCCCGGAGAAATGCCGTCCGTAGTCCCGCCTCCTGGCAAAAATAATCTTTCTGCAAGCGGCCCAGAAAGCTGGCAAGGCTGCGTCCTGCACAAATATGAAGTTCTGGACTATGTCGAACAGCCGGCGTGCACCGCGAGAGGTAATACCACCGGCTCATGAAGCATCTCGTGGCTTCGGAAGGTATGTGTTTGTCAATGAGGCCTGCCAGGCCAAATGATCCTAGTCGGAGACACGAGTTGTATTGGTGAATTGGCCAAGACTTGGGCCAAGACGACTCGCCGGGCAACGTGGAGATCACCGTAGACTGCGCTAGGTCGCATCCGCTTTTTCCCGGGCTTGGAGTGGTCATTTCCAAGGCTGTTGATCACGTCCTGCTGGACATGAACAGCCTCATCCTCAACCCCGAAACCCCCCACATCATCCAGCGGTTAGAGAGCAGTTTAATTCGGAACGTAGAAACGCATCATTTCAGCTGCATTGTCAGTTTTCAGACCTACTTGGTAAGTCCCTTGATCCTTTTGAGAAACTCTAACACCCTTGCAAGACCTTTGCAGAACCCTCAAAAAACCCGGCGCGGCACTCGATAAAGCCCCTTCAAAGCGCTTATATACCAAAACCAAATTTGTGAACCCGGTACCCCTAATTTAGGGGCCTTCATAATGCGAATAAGGCTTTGGGGCCCATTATACTACAAGTATAATAAGGGTATCCCCCACTATTTAGGCCCCCAGACTAAATCCTTATAGTGGCCCTTATAGCAGCCCTTATAGACCCCTTCAAAAGAACCCTATTAATACAAGCCCTAAACCCATAACCCTCAACCCTGGTACACCGGAGCCCTGGGCGCCTGCGATTGGCCTCCCAAGGCCACCTCGCTGCTGCTAAAAAAACACAGGCTGCTCCTGCTCTTGAGGTGCGGGGTCTAGGCTTCTACGGGTTCTGCAAAGGTTTTCGGGTTTCTGAAGTTTTCGGATTTTGAAATTTTACTCTTTGGTTTGTGGCTTTAGGGTTTAGGGCTTTGAGGTTACTTGGAGCTTATGTACTTAGTGCCAGGCACGTGCACCGGTCGTACTCAGCAACACCGACCAACGGCCAACAGCAGCCTCCACTGGGACCCTAGACCCCCGGGAGGATCCAAAAAGTAGATCCCTTAATGGGGGCTCCTATAAAGTACCCTTAGTAGTATAAGGCCCCAAGCTAGGGGATCTGCTTTCTAGACCCTCCCGGGGGTTCTGGGAAGAGCAGCAGCTTGTGCCCAGAACGCAAGCAAGGAAGATCCGGCATACACGAGTCAGGACTAGCTGTGCGACGCAGAAGCTGCACGACGGAGATCGGTAGTGATGACACAATCTTACCGAGACTGCATGTAATGCTTGGAGATTATAACTCCTTCTCGAACCGGGTCTATAATACAGGGCTCCTTAAAGGGATCCTTAAAGGGATCTATAAGGGTTCCACAATGGAGGGTCATGGGGCTTAGTAAGCAAGGTTATAAGTACCTTGCAAGTAGTGGGCTCCTTGGGCACAATGGTTTCTGAGGGCTGCTCGGAAAAGCATCGCTCCGCGGCGTGTTCTACCTGCCACGAATCGCCGGTTCGGGGATTCCACGAATATTTGTAAGGCGTTTAGCCAGTGCTTTGGGCATGTATCAAAGTGACAAGAGTTACAGGTGCTTTCAAAGCCGAACAATGTACATGTAACCTTACTTGATAAGTGCACTGGAGTGAGCCCCCTAAACTCTAAACCCTGAAGCGTCAACAGGCCGATTGCCTAACATCGTCTTGAATCGACTGTGCTGGAATCCTTCGACGCACAGCTTCAGCTTTAATCGTTCTAAAGCTCCAGACCCGGAACCCAACACCATACTGTAATCTCGAATCCTGAATGCCTAAACCTCAAATCCAAAGCCAAAAAACCCTGAAGCCTTAAGTCGTTGACCCTCGATCCTGTCCTAAACCATGTTCAGCAAAGGAGATCTTAAACCCACCAAGGCTTCTTACGCATCTTCCCCAAGCCCCTCGGTAACCCTGAATAACCTACCTTTTTAGGGTTCCTCATTATGATTTCTTTATATAAGTCCTTAAATATGTAGGTTCTTCGGGGTTAAGGCTTGTAGAAGCATTCCCCCATTCCCTGCTAAGCACCAGGGAAACCTTGCACAATACCCCTGAATTAAGGAATATGGCTTACATTATATAGGGCCTCATGCCTCATACTATGATCTAAGCCATATAGCTGAAATAAGAAACTTTGGGGCTCTCTGGGTGCAGGCCTGTGAGCCCGAAGAAGCCCAGGGCCCGAAGTAACCCGAAGACAGACGCCCGATTCATCCTGAAACCCCAAACAATCTAGTCCAAGCTACCATCGCAGGGGCACCCTTACTCTGAATCTTAACATCCCTGAACCCTAAACCCTAATCCCCAAACCCTAATCCCTAATCCCTAAACCCCTTAACCCTGTACACCCTAAACCCTAATCCCTAAACCCTAAGCCCTAAGCGTAAAGAACCCCAAGGCCTGAGCCCGCCCCCCCCCCCCCCCGAAAGTCTCGAACGCCTGAATTTAAGACTCGCCGGCCCTGCGCGCCACGTGCCGACGCCTGCACCAAGCAACCATGGGAGCCCAATCTATCCCCTGCTTGCAGCTTCATGGGTAGTTATAAGTGGGGTTATAAGTAGGGTAACCAGGATTATGGCCCATATTAGGGGACTTGTAATCCTACTTGTAACTACCCATGAAGCTCCAAGTGGAAGTTCGATCTGTGCTTTGCTTTTAAAGCCTTCAGAGGGTTGTTAGGTTTACTTGGTCTTTGTGGGAATGTCAGCTAACGCAAGGAATACCCCTGGACTTAAAGGGTTGGGACCCGAGCTCTAGGGAACTCCAGAGTTCTTCGCCTTAGCCAAGGAAGAGTTCTTAGCTTCAGCACGTCTTTTCGTTATTGCAGCCCTATGAAATCTAAGCCCTGGACCTTGTCATGGTTTGAGGAACGCTCCTTGACCGAGGGGTCATGGGCTCTCTGCCAGAACCGAGCAACATCGCCCATCAAGACCTTCGAACCCTTGAAGCCCTGAACCCCAATCGTCAGCGGCTGTTGGACTAATACCATGGGAAACCGCTTTCAACCACGCTTAAGCCACTGTAAAACCAAACAGCCTAACGCCCTAAACCCGGGAGAACCCTCAGTAAACCCCCGGCAATACAATTACCACTACTATTTTGCGGCTCGTGTGTCATTCCCAAAATCCTATTAAAAGTCTTAAGGCCCCTCTCTTAAACCACCTGCCTAAAGTCCCTTAAAAAGACCACCGGTAAAGGGCCTCCCGGATCGCCCCGGGGAGGCGGAGGCCTCAGAGTTCCCAAGGCTTACCTTTGGTTAGTAGGGAATGGAGGAATGGGATACGTTAGAAGCTGCCCCCCCCCCTGTAATAGTGGTATAATAGGAATATAATAGGGCCCTCATATAATCCTTATAGTCACTATTACAGGGTGGGGGCAGCTTCTAAGGGATACAATTATAACGACATTTTCTACCATTCTTCCATTCCCTACTAACCAACAGTAAGAAGGGACTCCCGCTTCTTTGGGGACGCTGCTTCAAGCCAGAGGCGGAGCTTCGGGGTTTTAGGGTTTACGTGGAGGATCCTGGGACTTAGTAGTTCCTTTAAGGCGACTGTAGGGATCCTGAAAGGGATCCCTATAAAGGGATCTATAAGGGTTCTATAATGGAGGATCATGGGACTTAGTAGGTAAGGTTGTAAGTACCCTAATTGGGGTTATAAGTATAGTTACCCTGATTATAACCCTAGTTACTAAGTCCCATGATCCTTTAAGCAGGGGATTTTGCTTCGGGGCCTTGTGTATTGGGTTTGAAGGGTTGTGCTTGGTTTTAGAGGCTTTGGAGCTCTTAAGTTTAGTGCTGAAGGCTTTCGGAGTGGAGGCATTTAGGGATTCAGGGTTTTTGGGGCGCCGAGGGTTCTGTGCTGAGGTATCGGGGCTTCCGGGTTTAGGGTCAGGAGCTGTCAGGGTAATGTAGGAACCTGATTAAGAAAGCTTGGGCCTTTATTAGGGCTCCTTCTATGAATCCTAGCATTTTGGGGGGTTATAGGCCCAGGGTGTCTTAATCAGGTTCTTATCAGGAAGTCCCAGAACCACCGAATCGAAGACGGCTTCATCCCCTGAATCGCGGGGACAGGATCTGTAGGGATTCTTGATCAGAGGCCCTTGCTTGTTTCTCCTGTGGCGTTCACGCTTCAGGGACCCCTCAGATCCTACACCCACGAATTAACCGAGAACCCTGTTGCCCACATTTTTTGTGTAGGGGTATTGGAGACAAGACCAACCCCGAAACCGGTTTGGGGTGTAGTGGTTTAGGATTTAGGTTTTTTTCTTTCCAAAATGGTTTAGGCTTTAGGGCCCAGTCTCACCTGTAAACCAACCACATCAACACCCTTGCCAAACCTTGTCTCAGTCCCCTACGTAAGACTTGAACGAGCCACTTATGTGATCTTAGCGCCCCGCCTTAAGCGCTGAACCCCCAACCCCTGTCAACCACTGAACACACGGCTGCACAAGAGTCTTCTCGAAGCTCATAACTAACCCCCCCCCACCCAACAAATCAAAAGCCGTGAAGAATCCGTATAGAACCTGGGAAGACTTCAACAAACACACATCCCTTGCGGGCCAACCCACTCAGTTTCCCAACCGGTTCGGATTGTGCTCCGGCTCGAAGCTCCAAGCGTGAGAGAACCTCGGCAAAGCAGGAGCAGGAGCAGGCGCAGCAGCAGAGGCAGGAGCAGGAGGACGAGCAGGAGCAGGAGCAAGAGCAAAAGCAGTAGTATCTTCAAATTACTGATCACTCTCGCTATCAGATTACTTCTACCCTTACTATTCCCATTCCATTCCTATTACCATAACTCGTACTATCAACATCACGATTGCTGCTGATAGTCTATGTTCTCAAGACGTATCACAAGCGCCCCTTTCCCATTATAACTATAGAAAATCCCCCACCCTTTGCGGGGTCCCGGCTCCCACCCTTCCGAAAGCAGTTCGACGTAGGGCTTCCTGCGATCGGAGCTTTCGGCAGGTATGCCGAGGAGATCTAGGAGGTCTGCTCAGAAGGGCTTTAGGGTGTTCGGGTTTAGGACTTTAGGGTTTTAGGTTTAGGGTTGCGGGGTTTTAGGTTTAGGGTTTCGGGTTTTCGGGTTCAGGGCTTTAAAGGGTTTTAGGTTTAGGGTTTTAGGTTTAGGGTTTCGGGGTTTTAGGTTTAGGGTTTCGGGTTTTCGGGTTCAGGGCTTTAAAGGGTTTTAGGTTTAGGGTTTCGGGGTTTAGGGCGTTAAGGTTTTAGGCTACTCGGGATTTGGGTTTGGCCAAGCTTTGAGGTCTTTGAGTTTGTGGCCTTGAGATCTGGAGGCGTGTAGATTCTAGCGTCAAGGGTCCGGCTTAGTAAGTGGGGTTATAAATACCTTAATTGGGTTATAAGTACAGTTTCCCTAATTATAACCCGAGTTACTAAGTCCCATGATCCTTTAAGTATAGAAGGGTCATACGGACCTCTTAAAGCACCACAGTCATTGAGGGTTCGGATGTCAGGTTTCAGGGGGACTTTTAATAATGGGTTCAGGCTTTTACAGTAAGTAGGAATTCAGGACTGAAAGCCTTCGCAAGGTCTTATGCTAGGTTGATAAGACCGCTTTCGGCTTTACAGTGTCAGGGGGGGCATTTTCGCTCACAGGGCCCAAGCCGTGATTGATCTTGAAACCGCATTGCTCCCTGGCATCGTGCACAGCTCCAGGAACTTGTGCGCCAGAAAAAAAGCTTGGCAACTCAAAAGGTGGCACCACCGATAATGCCCAGCACATTGCCCGCAGGGACAAACCTGCTGGACAACAAAAGGCGAAGGTGACTGCTCCAGTTCCGGTGCATCTGCATTCCCACAGGCGGTCGCCAACAGGTCGAGGCAGCGGCGCTCCTTCTGCTGGGCGATGTATTGCCTTGTCCGCGCACGTCTCACTCGCGACGTGTTTCCAGGCGATGAATGACAGCGCCTTCGAGAAATTTCTGCACAACGACGGTCTGCAGCAAAGAACTGCAAGGACGTGTTCCACCTGTGACGACTTCAGCCATGTATGCTGCTACTCCTACTGTTCCATCACCTCTTACTACTCCTGCGGCTCCTACTGTTCCCACCACTCCAGCGACTCCCACTACTCTCCCACTACTCCTACTACCCCCAGAAACCCAGAACCCCCTGTACCACCAGTCCCAGCACCACAAGCACAATCAGCGCTTCCACCATTCCCATCATCGTCGCTGTCCCTGTCACAGCACCTAAACTGCTACGAGTGTCACGCTTGCCGCCTACTTGCCGGTTCTTCCGCGTTCGTCCAACCCGACCCTGCGCTAAGCCCAACTGCTGCTGCCTGGAACTCGGACTGCGGCTGTTGCAGGACATACCACTGACTGTCGAAATATTCGCTAGTATATCAAGCACAATTTTACAATAACATCACCAAAAAGCCCTATTCCAACTACTACGGCCCTTGTATTGCCTTTCGTGACCTCTACCACGCGCGTCTTCTGTGTGACAGCCACAGAAAACAGTTCTCCTGTGTGGTCGCCAAGTGTCCTGGAGCGGCTTTGGGAATTGGAGAATTGAGCTTTACTTGGAAGATCCTGGGACTTGGGAAGTAAGGTTATAAGTACTTTAACTGGGGTTATAAGTACAGTTTCCCTAATTATAACCCTAGATACTACGTCCCATGATCCTTTAAGTATGGCAGGCTCTCGTGTAGGTTCCCAAGGGCAGCCGTTCTCCTGTAATCACTTTTACAAAGACAAACCTCAACAGAAAAAGGATACAAGCGCATAGCGGGAGCCTAGTCTTAGGGCTTCTCTCCCTTATTCACGTACGGCCCTTCTAACAGGTCTTGTTCTAATGCGGGGGAGGGGGGGGGAATTTGAGTATAGTGGTTCATCTTTCTTGGTTCGTTTCGGAGGTTGAAGATCCTAAAGACACCGAAACCAGAGCCCTAGGCCCAAAATTCAAAACCACAAACCCAGGAGGCTGCGACACCACCCTGAGGTTTAGGGTTTAGGGGCTTAGGGGTTTAGGTTTAGGGCTGCCGGCATCCGCTGATTGGTTTAGTCAGCAATGCCCTCGCAAACAAGAAGCCAACGCAGGGGGCTTGGCAATTTCAACAGGATTTTGCGGCGTATGCAGCACATAATATAGGGGACGGAAAGGGGACACTGGAACGAGTTATTCAGACTCATATGGGAGCTTCCAAAAATGGGACCCTAATACAGTATTCTTAATAGTAGGATCCTCATTCTTTAGGATTCCAAAACAAGGTACCCCTAATTTTCGGAAACTCCCATACATTGGACGAGAGAGCGACCTTGCCTCCGGATCGATCGCATAATGCTCGTAGTCGCCCCGTAGCCTCGCGCAACCAATGCAGGGTTTGCGCTGATTGTGAAAAGCATTAGAAGGTTGCCCAAGGGCTACTTGAAGGATCATGGGACTTAGTAAGTAAGGTTATAAGTAGATTAATCGGGGCTGTAAGTATAGCTGCCCTAATTTTATCCCTAGTTGCTAAGTCCCATGATCCTTTACGTAGGTGCTAGGACGGGGTGTTGAGCTTGGGTTTCAGCCGCAAGGACTTAAACAAAAAACGACTTGTAGGTCAGGGTGAGCGCTGACTACCGCTGTTGAAGCACAAGTAGCATATGCGTGGCTGTCAAAATTAGGGTCCCTTTTTGGGTACCCCAAATATTAGGTGCCGTACTATATTAAGGACCCAAAAAGAGACCATAATTTTGACAACCGCATTCATATATGGATTTGTGTGTCATCCCTGGCTTTCCCATCGATGGCTCTGAGCAGGTTAACCCATGGCTGGCCTGCATGCCAGACATCGTCAGTCGTCAATCATCATCTGGAATCATCTGTGCGGCGCTCATGTGATCCTCAGCGCCAGGTGCTGCACTTGTTGGCAACGCACAATCAGTGGTCTCGTCCGCATCGGCGATGTCCACAGGAAGCAGTGACCTAGGCAGGGACATCGCTCTGCTCGTCATTCTCGACCGAAGACTTTTCATCGCTCGACGAAATCCCACGTGCCCGTAGCAGTGCAGACTTGCTAGTAGACTGCTTGTCATTGCCCACCTGCTGGCCATCCTCATTCTTTTTTTCTTCATGTCGGTCCGACGGGAGGTGATGGGAGATCCCTAAACCCGAAACCCCAAACCCTAAACCCCTAAACCCTAAACCCGCCGACTATCGTGATTCGGGTAGTTGTCAAAATTATGGTCCCTTTTAGGGTACCATAAATAGTAGGTGCCGTATTATAATAGGGACCCAAAAAGGGAACCACCCATTCGGTTTTTTCTCCTCACACAGGCAAGAACGACGCCATGGACCATGGACCCCAAACCGCACAACCCAACCTACACCCTGAACCGCTGGACCCAAAACCCCAAACCCGTTAACCTATCCGAACAACGATGTGGCTTAGTAAGTGGTAAACGGGATTTCACGCTGTATAGCGCGCCAAGCACACTGCTTACCTTGCCAAAAATACAGCTTCCTTGCGAAGTTTCGCTTCAGGTAGAGCTTAAAACCCCCTGTCGCCCCGAATTGGAAAACCCACACAGAACTCTTACAAAAAGACACCCGGCGAGCACGCCTGCAGCCGATTGGAAGCTCCTGGCATCAGGCTGCGCGCTGCGTTGCGCTTGGGTTCGAGGCTTCAGAAGGGCTTGATATGACTGCCTTGTGAAAGCTTTATACGGGCTTGGTACGCATAGGGCTTTGGTGCTTTGGTCATGGAGTTCTGGCACTTAAGAGTTTTGCAGCTTTGAGTTTTGGGGTCTGGGGTTTTAGAGTTCAAACCCGAACTGGCGTACCTTTGTTGCTTGCTACCTGTAGCCAGAGCACCGAAAACTGGAAATGCATGTGGGCGGTTGTCAAAATGATGGTCCCTTTTTGGGTACCCTAAATATGAGGTGCCGTATTAGAATAAGGACCCAAAAAGGGACCCTAATATTGACAACGACCCATGTGGAACATGTGCCGCTAAGGGCAACCATGAAGACCCGAGGTCTAAACCAAAGCCAACTTGAGATCTTATGGGTGGTTCTCAAAACTATGATCCCTTTTTGGGTCCCTAGTATAATACGGCACCTATTATTTAGGGCACTCCAAAAAGGGACCATAATTTTGACAACTACCCTTATAAGATCCCAGAAGACCCCATATCGCACATCTCCTTAAGAACACCGCAAATTCCAAAATCCCTGAATACAAGATATCCCTTACGTTACGAAAAGGAGCCCCATTATCCACAAGGCCCTAAACTCGAAACCCTAAACCGTGACCCTAAACCCCAAACCCATCTTACCTTACTAGAGACTGCTTTAAAGGAGTCTTTTAGGGATCCCTAAACCCCTAAAGTAAAACCCCAAACCCTAAACCCTAAAATCCTATTAAAACCCTATATAAGCCTTCCACCCAGGGCCCTAAAGCCCTAAACCCATCTTACCTTACTAGAGAACCCTTTAAAGGAGCCCTTAAAGGAGCCCTAAACCCCTATAAGCCTTCAACCCTAACCCTCTAAACCCCTAAACCCCTAAGCCCTAAACCCCAAACTAGAGACCCCTTTTCCTTTAAAGGATCCCTAAACACCTATATTATAAGTCTTCAACCCTAAGCCCTAAACCCCTAAGCCTAACGCACTAAAGCCCTAAAGTCAGTGGTGGTCTCACGTATTCGTACCGGAGTCTGCCCAATTGGATCTGCCTAAAGCCCTAAAGCCCCAAACCCCAAACCCTAAAGCCCTAAACCATAAACCCTAAAGCTAAAGCCCTAAAGCCCTAAACCCTAAGCCCTAAAGCCCTAAAGCCCTAAGCCCTAAACCCTGAACCCTAAGCCCTGAAGCCCTAAGCCCTGAACCCTAAACCCTATAGCCCTAAAGCCCTAAGCCCCAAACCCTAAAGCCCTGAAGCCCCAAAACCGAAAACCCCAAACCCCAAAAGCTCCAAACCCGTCTTCCTCTCCTCATCCGCCTGAGGCTTCGCTGCGCGGGCCTCGTCGAGACTCGGGGAGCCCGAAGCTTCCAATGGGACCTCCTAAGGCTCCTTTTAGGGGATCTAACCTTAAATCCTTCAAGGCCTGTGAACCCAAAGACTCCAATATCCCTTAATTAAGGAATATACCATATAATTAGAGCAGGATCCCTAATATGATTTAAGGAATATGCCTTAATTAAGGGGTATTGGAGTCTCTGGGGAGCGTTTCGGGGTTTAAGGGGTTTAGGGTTTAGGGTTGATAAGGCGTAAAAGAATCTAAACAATCTATAGGGATTGTGATAGGGCTTAGTAACATTTAAGGGCTCCTTAAAGGGAGCCATAAGGGATCCAATAGGGATTTAGGCTTTTTGTTTTGAGGGGTTTAGGGCTTGCTTGGAGGTTCATGGGGCTTAGTAACTCGAAGGGTTCCTCCAAAGGCTCCTAATTTGGGGACCTAAACTACTAAGGGTACTTTATAGGAATCCCCATTACGGGATCCAAAACCCCTAAACCCTAGACCCTATAGCACCTTTAAGGGGCTTATAACTACCCATGAACCCCCCCAAGTACTCGTTTGGGAGTAAGTTTGGTTACCTGCAGTTTAGGAACCCCCCATTAAGGGATACCCTAAACCCTAAACCCAAAAACCCTATACATCCCTTAAAGGGAGCCTTAAAGGAACCCCTATAGGAACCCCCCCCCATGTTTAGGGGATCTACTGTTTTTTGGATCCTCCAAAGGGTGTCCTTCAGCTGCTCAGTCCCATGAAGCCGAGAGCTGCTTGGAGCTTCATGGGACCGTTGCAGCTTACGGGGCTCCTCAAAACAGGATCTTTTCACAGTTTAAGGGTTTCTTAAGGGTTTGAAAGAAAAAAGAGCTTCTTAAGGCTTTCTTCAGGGTTTTAAAGATTTTCTTAAGGGCTTTTAAAGGGTGTCCTAAGGGCTTTCAAGGGTTTCTTAAGGGTTTTAAAAGGTTTCTTAAGGGTTGGGTTTCTTAAGGGTGTCTTAAGGGTTTTCTTTAGGGTTTTAAAGGGTTTCTTATAAGGGTGCTAGAGGGATACTTGGGGCTACATGGAGCTTAGTACTTCAGGGTTCTGTGAGGAGGTGTTTCTGGGGCTTTTTTATAAGTGTAAGGATCGTACAGGGATCTATAAGGGAATCCATAGGGGTCTGGGGATTCCTCAAAGGGATCTATATGGGCCCCGTGGGGATTTGGGGTTTGGGGTTTAGGGCCTACTTGAAGGTTCATGGAAGTTAGTAAGTTTATACGTACTTTGGTTGGGAATAAGCACGGCTGCCTTATCCAGACCCTAGCTACTAAGTCCCATGGACCTTGAAGAAGACGGCGGTTCTCAGAGAGCCCATTGGTCAGCTTCGTCCATGTCGACCGTCACTGACTGACAGAATACCGGAAACCGAAGATAATCTTCGCGAAAAGATTCTGTAACTGGCTGTTCCATTCTGTTGGCAAAGGCTGCTATCTGCTCGTCCTTGGTAAAGCACGAAGCACTTAACAGCCTTGTGCAGGTCGCTTTTGAAACCCCGTCGATGCTGACATTCGCGAATCGAGACCCCTCCATAGTAGTTGCCTGGAACTCGTCCTGCAATTGCAACAGATATGGGTCATCGTACTCGTGGATGGTTGTGACACCACCCGCTGCCGTACGTCGACGTGCACACCCCTGCGCTAGTCTCAGAAACATGCCCGAAACTTCGGACGAGACCAATGCCCACATCAGAGAAAATGAACAATATCTGGAAATGGCAACAGCCAGATGATCGTTCGATCCTAACGTGACGCATAACTTGGTGATGTGACTACCCATGAACCTCCAAGTAGAGAACCGGCAGCATGATGCACTACCCCTTAAGCCCTATAACAAGGGTTACTACAAGAAGGGTTGCTGTAATAAGGGTTCCTATAATAAGGGCTACTACAAAGGCCTCTGCCCTAAACCTGTATAAAATGCACCGAGAAACTCGAAGTTTCACTTGCCTGATGTCAGGAAACATGCAAGGCACATGTACAACCAGTTCATTGCCACTGTGATCTGACTTAACATCAAGCATCCACACTCGGAGTCACTATTGCAGCATGGTAAGATCCAGCATTGTGGGCCCCTAGATGTTTATATGCTTGTAATACAAAAAAGCATCAGCAGGTGAGGTCAAAAAAATAAAGCATCAACAGTTGAGTCTCTACTATGCGGTTGCAGACATATCATGAACCGAATGGTGAGTGTAGCATACACCAATCCAAGCCACCACCCAGCTACACTGTCCAAAACGGAAGGAGCTTCCCATCGAGCCTGCTCACTCTCGGACAAGAAGCCACGGCCTCGGGACGTAGTCCCAGAGAGCCCCACTTGCCCACTAATTTCACGACTTTTTCAGGGGTAACTTGGGCAGTCAGCATAAAAGCCCTTAAGCTCCTAAACCCCCAACACCCGGAACCCAACCATCGTAGTATCCCTTACAGTAACATAATCTCTGCTGCAGCGGATGTAAGGAGCGAAAACAGGCAAGAGGCCTCGACAAATCAAGAAATCTGACGCGGGGCTTCGCTACTATGCGTCATTGTGAACATGGCTGACTAATATACTTATAACCCTACATACTGAGTGTCCTGATCCTTCACGTTTTAGGAAACCCTCAAGCGATCGAACAAAGTAACACAAGCTCCTGGCAATACAATTTTTGTCTTGCTTTCTTGGCCCTGCATGAAACCACTTTAGAGTCGGGCCCCGGGTGACGCGCTGCGTCGCCTCCTTCCCTTTCGGAGCCCTGAGCGGTAATGTACTTAGGGTGTAGGGCCTAGGCTTTAGGGCTCACTAAACGCTGCCTAATCCCTAAATTAAGGTGTTGGGTCTTGGGGTAGAATTTGGTTTACTACAAAAAGGACCCCTAAGAAAAGAGCATTTCAAATAATTTAAGTGGGTTCAACTTACAGTTTTTTGTTGGGGATCTTTATGCCAAATATTTTCTTCCTGAGTGTCTATACCAGGGTCCCTTTCTTGCGTTTGTAACTCCCACGGCCTTTTCGGGCTCGTCTAGTTTGTTTGCAGTTCATTATGGCTACCCTAAACCTTAAACCCTAAACCCCAACGGTTTAGGATTTAATTTGAGCGCTTACCTGCACGAGCCTGCATGCACCGGGGAACCCAGGGAATACTTCTTCTTATCTACAAGCCCCTTAGCCCCAAGAGAAAAATCTGCATTTGCACAGAATAGCCCCGGCTGGTATATGCCATCAACAGTGTAAATAAAAATTGGACGGAACACATAATATTGGCGCCTTAATAGCTGGAATCGGGTGTGGGGCCCTCTATATTACACGTATAATCTGAAACCTGCCCAAACTGTACTATAATAGGTAAAAATTAAGGGCCCTTAAAGGAACCCTAGTACCCCTTGAAAGGAACCCTAAGAATTAAGGGCCCCTATAGTACGAGTTCTCATGTGCCCTGTGATCCCCTCTGTTGATGTCGGGCCCCAAAAAGGGCACATAAGCCAAAATAAGGGCAGGGACATCTCATAGGGACCCCCGCCCCCCAATAATGAAGGCCCACAAGGTAGGGTTTAGGGTTTAGGGTTAGGGTTTAGGGTTTAGGGTTTAGGGTTTAGGGTTTAGGGTTTTGTAGGGATATCACCCTGCAATGCTTATGCTTATGGGCTGTGTGGGGTCCCTTATGATGGGGCGCTTCAAGCGTTGACCGGGCTTTGCAGGCCCAGGACGTTTCAAGATTCAAAAATAACTATACTGAACTTGAACCCCTAGTAAGAATTATCATTTTCGCGGTTTCTCAGGGATGAAAGAACCAAAATTTCAAGTTTTTTCTAAGTACCTCTAAGATAAGAGTGAACCTCGTAAAATCGCCGTCCCCCCTCCCCCCTCCCCGTCCAAAAAAACACGGCACATACACATTCACTTGCAGTGATCTGTTCAAGCGCGGGGGGGGGGGTTGGAGACTTGAGTCTTTGGATGCCATCTTGCCCCGGTCACCGGCTGTGAAGGCGTTGTGCAGTGGATGCCTGTAGTGTTCCACAAGAACTGAGCACCTACAGCGACGACGACAGCAGCAACATCGTCATCATCCACGCCGTCGCCATCAGTTTAATTTATTCGTGTTTCAGCAGTTGTTCGACATCAAAAGCACGAGGGGAATGGCTTCGACGGACATGCAACTACATGCTTGGCAGACGGATGCCAGAATAGAACGAACAAACGAAAAATGTCGCGACGGTAAAAACACTAACACCACAGCGTGCAAAGCAACGCAACCAAGAAACACACAGAGACAAAGCATAGCTGTCCAAGAGCAAACCTCGCGAAGCAAAAGGCACAGGACCTCTAACACAAAAACCAAAGCGACGGCGCTACGATGACCTAGAAAAGCATCTTGGGGGTTAGCATCCCCCCTTCCCTGAAAACATGGCCAAAGCCCCCAAAACCCAATAACCGTAAACCACAAAATCTCAAAACAAAAATAGAACCCCTGACTCAATCCAACCAAAGCCTTGTCGCAAGGGCCAATAAATTCAGCAAGAGAGCGTAAACAAACCCTTCAGCTAAAACGTGCGACAACCACAACCCTGTGAAACCGTATCATCATCCTACAGGAACCCCCCCAACAAAAAGGCATGAAGCTACGAAGCCCTACAAGACCACCTAAGAAACCCTTTAAGAAGCGACCCTTGAAGCTCTTCTAGGAGCCCTTAAGCACCCCTTTGAATCCTATCCTGCCTTCGCGCATCTGCTTTGGAAGCTCGAGAAGGCTCCGGGTCGCTCTCCTCCTCGGAGGGTTCTCTGAAAGGGTTCCTGCAAGGCTACTGATTTGAGGGTTGCTATAAGGCTTCCCTTAAAGCGATACTACAAGGATACTAGTAGGGTTGCTAAGAGGCAAAAAGGTTCACTGCAAGGATTAAGGTTTACTAAACAGGTTACGGCGAAGATCGTATGTGGTTACAAGTGGGATAAGGGAGGGCGTGCAATAAGGGTTACCTTAATGCTACATGTACTTGGAGGTTCATGGGTAGTTATAAGTGGGGTTATAAGTCCCCTGATATGGGTTATAAGTATAGTTACCCTATTTATAACCCTACTTATAACTACCCATGAACTTCCATGTAGTCTGCTGTTAGCCTACAGCCCTCTTTTGACTCGCGGGGAGCGGGGGCGGAGGGGTTTGCATGGTGTGCGGGGATCAACAGGGGTACTTAAAGGATCATGGGACTTAGTAAGTAAGGATATAAGTACCTTAATTGGGGTTATAAGTATAGTTACCCTAATTATAACCCTAGTCACTAAGTCCCATGATCCTTTAAGTAGTACTTCACGGCTTTGAGGCTTCCGGATTAGGTCTGGAACTCAACTCTTTTGAGGCAGACGCGGTCCGGCTGTGTCAAGTCAGGATAGTCCCAGTTTGTCTACACCATACTTGGAGGACTAAGTCCCATGATTCTTTGTGTCGGTCTGTAGGGCGTTGTACGGGAACTGGGGTTTAGAAGTTAGAAGGTGAGGTTCATCACCTGTGGATCGGGACTGATACCGTCTTACAGGGTCTTCCGGGGTTTGCGAGAGAATTACATTTTCAGAGATTTGGGTTGGCGTTAAAAAGTTTTCGGGTTCTGGGTTTAATCTTGAAGCTTTGCAAGCTTTGTGACTGAAAACCATCTGATTCTTGCGTAGCTTCCCAAGCATCCTGTGTACACTGGATTGAGAACACCGAGTCTCGCAATCAGAGTTCTACTTTAGCGGACAGATATTGCTACCTGTGCGTGTGTGCATACATAACAGAACATAGTGCTACCTTCGATTACAGACATACACATGCATACATACATGTATGTACAAGTACAGACATGCATATACAAAAAACATGTATACATGTACACATGTCAGGCGTGTGTCATCCCTTGGAATATGTGCCGGCAAGACCTTCGTATAGATAGCGTTCTGATAGCTCTGTAAGTCGTAGACTGTTCCTCCATTCAACTTGGTCCTCGCTGCTCCACCCGCGCATTCCGCCACCACCACTGCTGTAGCCTGGGAAGTGAAAGCATGCTCAACACAGCCTCGAGAAACGGCAAAGCAGAAACCCAGCCTTCTCACAGCAGAACTAAGCACGACGGAAGCGTCTTCACAACCCGGCTTGAGAACTACTTCAAGTTACTTGGCCCACCTTGCCGACCACGTTTCCGTTTCACCGGTGTGGCTGGAGCTGCCTGGGGAAACTGCGAGTTTGTGCTGGGAGGACAGGGTTTGGAGTATGTCTTTTCCCTTGGGTTTCCACTTGTCATCAGCTCTTGGAGGTTGATGAATATTTATAAGTAGGGTTATAAGTCCCCTAATATGGGTCATAATTATGGTTACCCTACTTATAACCCCACTTATAACTACCCTAAACCCTAATCCCTAAACCCTGAACCCAATACAACCCTCAAAGGCACCCTAACCCCTTATAACCCCACTTATAACTACCCGTGAACCTCCAAGCAGGGATCCCCCTCTCTCTTCTCCAAGCAGGCTGTAGCCTCATCAGTCCAAGAATGTGGGGTTTTCTCGCATGGGAGCTTCGCAAGAGTATGGCCATGAGGACCCTTAGGGGGGGGGTAGGGGGAGGGGGGGGGGGTAGGGGTTTAGGAAATATAGTCCCCTACCTCCTCCCCTACCCGCTAAGGGTCCCTATGAATATGCGGATCTTCCCAAACCTTAGGAACAAAGACACATACAAAAGCCTGCTAAGACCTTGACATACCCAAGAACCACAAGTGAGTCCAAACCGTGCACCGGAAAAGCGCAACGCCTGTATTCACACCTCCACTGGAGCCCTAAACCCTAAACCGAAAAATTGTCAACCCCAAGCCCGCTGCAGCAGGGCTTTTTAAGTGTTGTCAGGCTTGATGAAGATGGTTTAGGAGGGTTCTGCAAGGGCTTTATGAAGGGTACTGTCAAGCTTTGTGTGGGAGCATGCTTGGTGTGTACGAAAGGCTGAGAGTGTAATTGGCCGCCAGTTTCAGGATTGTGAGAATTTTTTCTTCTTGCTTCCTCCCATCGCGCAAGGCAAACCTGTATGAAAGCCTACGAAGCCCTTATGACCCACAAAAAACAACAAAACAACCCAAACCACCTGCAATGATCGCTCCGCCTTCTCGCGATCGTCGTGCTCGGGGACAAAGGCGTCCTCCTCTTCTTCCGCCCTTTGCGGGTTTAGGGTTTAGGGGTTGAAAGGGCTTCGGGGATTTGACAGGGTTCTATGACAGTCTGCAAGGATCTCATCTCATTGGGTTCCGTAAGGCTTTGTATCGTAAGGCTTCCATACGTCGTCGAGCGCACTCCTTCAGGCTTCTTTGCTTTCTACAGGGAACCAAAATCCTAACCTACATAACTACTATCCTAAAACCAAGTACCTAATTATTGGGTCCTTTGGACCCTTGGGGTTGGGACTGATTGCGCACTCACTACCCAGCCCGTACTTCCAAAACGAATCCCAGCCCCTGGAGCCTCTTCGCCTCTTCCGGCACGCCGGTGCTGGCGTCGGTCGAGTCCACCTCAGACCTCGCGACATCTGCAGAGGCCTGAATCCTGCTAGACGACTTGACTTGGAGGATCATGGGACTTTGTATTTAAGGTTATAAGTTCTTACTTGGGGTTATAAGTACAGTTACCCTAACTATAACCCGAGTTACTATGTCCCATGATCCTTTAAGTAGACCATAAACGAACCTTCCTCAAACCTACAGAGCACAATATTTGTCGAATGGTTTTGCCAGGAACCTGAAAAGCCTACTTAGAGGATCATGGGACTTAGTAGCCAGGGTGATAATTAGGGTAACTATACTTATGACCCCAATTAAGGTACTTTATAACCTGACTTACTAAGTCCCATGATCCCCCAAGTAGCCCGTCAAATCCCAAAGCCCTGGAACCTGGAAACTCATGACCTGCCTACCCTCTAACAACTCATAAAGCCCAACTAAAAGCGACCCCAGGATCAGGGGCTTGGTAAGTAGGATTAAGTTACTAGTGGCTGTAATTAAAATACTTACAATTACTTGTAACCCCAATGACCGCGCTTTTACCAAAGTTTCTAAATCCCGTGATCCTGGGAGCAGCAATTCTGCAAGGAGCTGAAAACCCAGCACGCCCCTGTAACTCCATAAAATCACCCTTCAAAAACCGAATGAATGCCTTGTAACTCTGCGCATGGAACCCCGGCAAAACGGTCTTAAATCCGTAAAGAAAAAACCTGATACAAATCCTCTATCCCTTGAAGAGCCCAATGAAACTCCCTTCATAAAGCCAAAGCTTCCCGCGCGTCCCAAAGGCCCGGGCGCGGGCACAGCGGCCAGGCTCCCGGGAAGGTCGGACAGGCCTGGAAGCTCTTCAAGAGAGTGTTAATGATTCCCTGTAAAGGAGCCCTTCTAAAGTATATCCCTCGTTACTAAGTCCCTGATCCTTTAATAGTGTTAAGCTATGCTAGAAGAGCTATGCAGCTTTGGTTGCAAACCCGGGCAGGAGGACAGGAATGTCGTTCCTTTGTTCTAGTTTAGTTATACCGAAACGCAGTGAAATCATGAATGAGTTTGAACGAAAGACATCACATGGCATAAAGTTCAAACAAAGCAGCTGCCGAACATACACATCCTCGTACTCACTGGTTTTGCTTCAACTGATGTAAACTGCCTTTTGGCTCCACTCCGTTCTCCATGTTTAACTAGAGTCTGTGGCTTAACAACTTATGGCTTGCTCGTGAGTATCGTATTGTTTGGGGCTTAAACAAGAGGCGTTAATGATTAGAATACGGTTTGGGGCCCCCCTATACTATAGTTGTACTAAGGAACTCCCAACATAGTGCAGGTGATTAATATTGAGGCCTCTATTTCAACGACTTTTTGGTGTTAAGGCTAGGGTTGTTCAGGGCTTTTGGGCTTGACTGCTTGGGCATCTGACTCTTCCTTGTGGGGCTCCCACAGACTCCAATATCCCTTAGATAAGGAATATACCTTAAATTATATTAGGGTCCTTATTATGACCTACGGTGTATTCCTTAATGCAGGGATGTTGGAGTCTCTGGGCTGGGGATTCAGGAAGTGGGAGGCTTCCCGGGGCTTCCCATTCAGGCCGCTTTACAAGGGCCAGGGTCGTAGATTATAGGTTCGCGGCTCAGGGCGTGTAGGGTGTTCGGCTTTCAGATTCCCCCCGACATCCCCAAACCGCTCAAACTTCAGTTATACATACGTCTTAAACTACACAGGGCTTCTTATGCCGGTTCAAAGGTTAATTTTTGGTTTAGGTTCTCTGGGCTTCTTGCTGCTACGACCTCAAGTCAGGTGTTGCTTCTGGACTTCCAAGCTCTTTCGTGAGTAGGCGCGGTAAGCGAAAAATAGATGTTCCTTCGTCTGATAGGAGCTTGTGCGCCTCCATGCCCAATATTAGGGTTTGGGCCTTCCCGATTCCACCATTGCCTTCTGCGCACGGTCTCGGACACTTTCCTAAACATCACGCAACGCACTCTGACGGCTGTACTTACAGGATCATGGGACTTAGGAACTAGGGTTATAATAAGCCATGATCCTCCAAGTATCTGAAGGCGCGCCTGCTGCCGCCAGGAAGTGCTCACAGCGAAGTGCCGGCAGCAGCCCTGACAACACCCCCGCATGTAAAAGGCGCACGCAAATCAATTTGGACACAGCTGATGACATTGGCTTCGCCGTGTTCCAGCTGAATGAAGAGTTCTTCGTCTATCTCGTCAACCATTTCGGAGGTCGCTGGTCTACACACTTATGTGCGCGCTTACTTCAGCTGGCAGTGAGGCACAAGCACATTGCAGGTGTGTATCTGGACTATTTCCTGTGGTGGCTGCTCCGCGCAAGCTTTTTGCCACCGTGTGTCTTTTCTTTTGCTCATGGGCTGGTCATGGCCGTGCCGCTGTCCTGGAACGAGTTAGCTTTGGGGACAGCTGACATACCTGGGACGGAAATTCGGTGTGCGTGCGGGTTTCACAGCACGGCCCCCGAGCCCGAGGACAAGCTTTTGAGTTGCGTTGCGTTCTCGCGTGGTGGACCACAAACCTTGGACATGACACTGTCACGGTCGGCCGTCCGGGGCTTGTTGTTCAATGGGCTGTTTCTGGAGAGAGCGCAGACTAGATTATCATCATCGTTGTCATTGTCATCATCAGGATTGTCGTGATCTTGTTCATCATAACCACCGTTGTGGCAACAATCTTCATGCTAGTAATTTCAATTGAACACCATGGTCATCACAGTCGTCATGAGGAGAGGGAATACTTAAAGGATCATGGGACTTAGTAACTAGGGTTATAATTAGGGTAACTATACTTATAACGCCGATTAGGGTACTTGTAACCCTACTCACTAAGTCCCATGATCCTCCATTATAGAACCCTTATAGATCCCTTCAAGGATCCCACTAAGGAAGCCTATAGTACCCTTAAAGGAACTACTAAGTCCCATGATCCTCCAGGTACATGTTTCCCAAAGAATGGGAGGCCCTAATTTAGTACCTTAAATAGTAGGATCCGTATTTTAAGGACTCCCAAATAAGGTACCCCCTAATTTTCGGAAACTCCTACATTATCCAACTTATAGAATCCTCGTCGGGCCTTTGGATCGCGTAGCCTCCGCCGTCAGCCGCCGCTCCTGAGCAGATATAAAAACCCCAAAGTGCGGGGGTTTCATAGAGATTTGGGATCATAGGGGCTCTTTTAGGGATTCATCGGATTTCCTAAATTTTGTGTGGTTTTCTGGGGGTTTGTATGAGGTTGAATATAGGAGAATATAAAGCCCCTGGGGGCTTACATTATTGCTGTTTCTACTATCCCGGGACGAGACGAGGATGTTCTGTCAGCTGTAGTCTGTAGCCCACAAAAGAACTGTCTTTTGAAGAGAATGTGGAAGATACCATAACAACCTGAAAAAATATGAATTTGGGCTAAAAGCCACGCTCCAAACACTAGTCAAGCCTAACAGACAACGCCGGTTACAAGCAGAATCTGCACAAAACACCGAAAGCCCGTTGAATAACAAACCTACCTGTATCGAATCCTACATATTGGGATTCTTACTATAAGGATGCGAAAACGAAACCCCTAATTGCCAGACCCCCCCGCCTTTCATGAAACCCTGGACCTAACCCTAATCTCTGGGAGAGCCTTTGTAGAACCTGTCCAGAAACGTATGAAACCCTGATCAGATCCTTGTTAATGGAACCCCTAGCCTTTTCTCAGCATCCCATGAAACGCTACACCCTGGAACAAGGACCCTAAACCCTATATAAACCCAGAAACCCTAAACCCGAAAACACAAGGCGCCTAACTCTAAAACCCTAAAACCCTAAAACCTTGAAACCCTAACACCGTGAAGCCCTACACCATGAACCACTGAACCCCAAACCTTTAAAACCCCGCAGACCCTAAACCCATAAGATCCCGGCATCGCCCCAGCCCTGCACGGCAAAGGTGAGGTCAAAGCGCACGAGCCTGGGATTCCCCCCCACCCGGCGAAGTCTAAATCCCCTTCAATACTTAAAGGGTCATGGGACTTAGTAACTCGGGTTATAATTAGGGTAACTATACTTATAACCCCAATTAAGGTACTTATAACCTTACTTACTAAGTCCCATGATCCTCCGAGTAAGGAAGGAATGGGTATAGACAAGAGTTCCTTTGAGTAAGGACTGTAGAAATCCCCTTATGTAAGTACGGAATAAGCTAGATTAGCGGCTTCCCCTGAAGTCAGGAATAGACGATAGTTTAGGGATTGGAATACGAAACAGGCATTGATTAGGGATGTTTTCATTTGTCAGGGTTCCCTTACGCAAGGAATAGACGATACTTCCGGGTCTGGGTCCTGTATCATACCCGAGAATCCCTCTATAAACTTAAACCCTAAACCTTTCAAAGCCGAGGCATATTGCTTTGCTTCATGAAGAGCGATTTGGTGTCTGAAAGTCATATACACATCACATCTCTCACATCTGCTCGGCTATATATATATATATATATATATATATATATATTGTCACCCCCCCCCGTTGACAGACCATGCCCTTTCAACTCAGTCGTAGTGCATGGTCTGTGATCGGGGGGAGGGGGCACTCAGATTTCAAAAACTCAATTCCAAAATTTCCAAAATCTCTCCCTTAGCTTTACGGATTTCTAAAATTTCCGAAATTTCCACAATTTCCAAAATTTCCAAAACGGCCCGACCTATAGTCGACAGAATTTTTCCAAAACATACGGGCGGACTTTTTGGAAATTTTGGAAATTTTGGAAGTTTTGAAAATTTTGGAAATTTTGGAAATCCGGAAAGTTAGGGGAGAGAATTTTGGAAATTTCGGAATTTCTGGAAATTTTGAAAATTTTGGAGATTTTGGAAATTTTGGAAATTTTGGAAATTTTGGAAATTTCGGAAATTTCGGAAACGTCGGAAACTTCGGAAATTTTGGACATTTTGGAATTGATTTTCAATGGGCTGATTGTGACCCATCGGATGACAGACCATGCACTACGACTCACTTGCAAAGGCAAGGTCTGTTTAGACGATTGTCAGTGTTTATATATATATATATATATTTTTTTAAAATGGTACTCCTACGAATACTATTACCAATACTAATACTGACATTGATCATTTGCTGACTGCCCAAGCTAATACCAGCATTAACGCTAATATTTACACTTTTTTAAGCCAATACGAATAGGCACCATGCAAATACTAATAATGATTTATACTGACGTTCATACTCCTACGCATATCAATAATTATGCCCATATTGGTAGTAGTGTATTTTCATACCAATACTAATACACACCTGCATATACCAATGTACATAAACATACATACCACTATATTCAAGTACAAATACATTAGCTCATGCATGTATTTATCTGTTAGTATTTTCATGTAATCAGGAGTAATACTAATATAAGACAAACGTTCATGCAAATACATAACCTCATTTTAATATTAGCACTAGCACTAGCACTATTACTAATACCAATCACACTGTTTATACTAACACCAAGATTTACATAAGTATTGATACTCCTACGGATACTACTGCGTATACTCTTATGCTGTTAACAGTAATGCTGTCACCAATACTAATACTGACATTGACAACTTGTTGAATATTCAAGATAATGCCAGTATTAATACTATTATTAACACTTATACTAAGGCTAATGCGACTACGGATAATCCTAATACGAATATTAACATTAATACTCCTACGAATACCAATAGTCATATTCATATTGATGTGAAGACTAATACCATTACAAAAGACACGTGTATATGCTAATGCACACCAGAACACATACCATTATCATTTTTGCCGATATGTATCAATGCATTCATGTACTGATGTTTTAGGACAAGCATATACCCATATACCAATGTAACAATACACTACTTGTTAATGTGTGAATATACTATACCAGTATGCTATTATACTAGTATGCTACTATACTAGTATACGACTACTGTAATATGCAAGTATACCGACATGGCAAGTTAGTGTACTAATATGACAACATAGTGATATACTTATTATAAATCATTAGACAATACACGTATATTGCATATACTAGTATACTAGTACACTAATGTACGAATATACTGGTATGTTAATATACTAATATATTAATACAGCAATCCACTAGTTTACTCATGCATCAGCTGAACTAAAGTATTAAATCTACGAATATGCAAGTATACAAATATGTTGCCTCTCGAACACATCAATGTATTGATATACTAACCTGCTGATATACGAAACTATCAGAATAGTAACATATCGAAACTAACTCTAATCTTGATACCAATACTAGCACCTCTGCCGTTATTAGCTGATATTAAACCCAACATGAAGACTGATACTAATACTAGCAGTGGTACTATTACTGGCATTGACACTGGCACTAACACTAAGACTAAAACGACGATGAGCACTAATATTAATGTATACTTACTACTGTCGATATATACATATATATATATATACTTGCGGTAGACACTAATACTATTGCTGATACAAATACTAATACCAATATTAATACTCATGTTCATCCTATATCAATGCTACCACAAAACTCATAACTCACGTGTCGCGCGTCTGGTCCATGCGTCCTCAGTACATGGCATGTTAAAAGTCTACTTGGTATATGTACTGTGAAGGATTTGCTTTACAGATTGTCGTCATGTGTGGTGTGTTTAGATACAATATCTCAGCCTAGTCACCGAAAGAGAGTACACTATCACAAGGGCATGGTCTGTCAACGGGGGGGGGGTGAGCATATATATATATATATATATATATATCTGTATGTAATCATACATCTACGTGGTTGTGTATTCGCATGTCCATGTGCATATGCATTCGTAAGTTGGAGTGTGTAATGTATCCTAAAATATACATCACATATCTACGTGTATTCGTTCTCGCACATTCACCACACATATCTGCATCCACAGGTACATGCATGAAAACAATCATGCATGCGATGAAAGGACCCCTGACCTGATGTGATCTGACCTGACATATGTGGCATGGCATGATACGGGGCGGTGGTGGGTTTGGAACTCTTCCCTTCCCCAATCTGCTGAGATTTTTGAGCGATAACCCAGCCGTTTCAAACGAAGGTCATCATCAACATTGCATGGAGGTGCATAGGTAGTCCTGAGCGGGGTTACAAGTCCCCTAATATGGGTTGTAATTACCATACTTATAACCCCACTTATAACTACCCATGAACCTCCAAGTGGGGTCTTGTGCCACGCCCATACAATTCGCGGGTGACACCCGCGAAGACACGAACCCAGAGACTCCAATAGCCCTTAATTAAGGAACATGCTTCAAATTATATTGGGGATCCTACTATAATTTAAGGTGTGTTCCTTAATTAAGGGATATTCCCTAAATTCAATCATATTGGGGATCCTACTATCATTTAAGGTATATTCCTTAATTAAGGGTAACTATATTGTAGCCCCAATTAGGGTACTTAAACCCTTATTTACTAAGTCCCACGATCCTTCAAGTAGTCTCCTCATGCCGCATTCTAAAGGCTACAGGCCCCGATCTCAGGGCTTCTCAACCTAAGTCCAGAACCGTAAACAGCACTATTGTGCTTGGCATTCAGCTGTTGCGGGTCACTCTGGCCATCAAGAATCAAAATGGTTTGGATTCATGATATAGTATACTTGATAACGCGATCACTGTAGGAATTCTAGTAGGATGCCCTTGAAGGGATGAGTCAGCTGGATCCTTCTTGGGGCCTTGTACGGTGATCAGCTACTGCAGGGCTCTATATGGTTCCTTCGGGTTTTGCAGGATTTGGCAGCTTTTCCTAGAGCTTTCTGATCTACTTGGCGGATCACACAATGTTAGTGGTGCCTTCCTTGAGATTAACGGTAACCCCGACTGCATTTTCCATCATGCGGAACTCTGCTTCCAAAAAGTCCCACGTAATAAAGGTGCCTGAATCCTAAGCCATAAACCCTATACCCTCAAAATTAACAAAATCTCGAAGCCACCCCAACCCAAAGCTGTAAGCCCTGCACGTACAGGACTGATTTCAGATCGGAGCATGCTCGTGAAATCCCTCTCATTCCCAGAGACTCCAATAACCTAAGTCCCATGATCCTTTAAGTATCGTTTAGAAACAAGGAAACGGCGAGGTTAGTACGCAGTGGAACCTTTGTTCTCTGCAGAGTCCAAGGCTTAGAGCCTAAATCCTAAACTAGGATACCCAGTAACCTAAGAATAAAAAGGCCTCTCTTTTTGGTATTGGGTAACTTTATAAGGAGCCTAGGACTACAAAAAGGGAATAAGGGTACTACTGGGCATCCAAGTAAAGATCCCTAAACCCTTCTTTCCGGGGCTCCGGCAAGGCATGAAGCAGCTGAGCAAACTTTGGCTGCAGTGGCGGAAACGTGAGCCTCTCGCAGAAGGTGGAAGGTGCCGCGAGTGGTTTTCTTGAATGCGGGGTTGTGGAAAGTGGGAGAACCTCGTATCAACCTTCAACAGTAGCGTACTTGCAGGATCCAGGCAGTTCTCCATGATAACATGGCTGTGGAGCTTTAGATTTGTCATTTGTGGCAGCATCAAACCATGCCGGATTCGTCTCGGCGACGACTCCCAGCCTGTGATGGAGCTTCATACATCCCGTTGACGGCGCATACATCTTTGCATACTCCAAATGGAATCGCAAGGACTAGCGATGGCGGGGCATATGCCTCACGATTTGGAGGTGCGGAAGTGCCAGAAGCTGATTCTGGATCGAAACAAAGGCCAAAGGGCACTCCAGGCGACCGAAACACTGTGCTCAGGTCACAATCTGGCTGCTGTTAGTAGATTGTGAACAGGCAAGCTCCGCAAATGGGCACCGTAGAAATCTGGAGCCGCACGGGAAACCTACCATTCAGGATGGACGCTGCTCTTGTTGCCCAACAGAAAACTTGGAGGATCAGAGGACTTAGTAAGCAATAAACGCTTTAACTGGGGTCTTGGGTAACTCTGACAGGGGCTCCCGTCAAGCACCCTCTGATGCACTCTCGTACAATCCATTAATACGCTACAAAACCGCTATGAAACAAGAATACAAACAATGATACTAATGTTAATAAACATTAGCAACGATAATAATAACTATTATACTACTCATGACAAAGACCCTAAGTAATCTCCAAACCGTGTGGCAATGTAGACTCCCGACTACAAACATTCCTCACCCTTCCGAAGGGATACAATAGGAGCCCAATATGAAGGCCCTGAAAGACAAGGGTCTTACCACGTGGGTGTCAACAGCAAAAACTCCAAAACCCTTTGAGCCTTCTTGAAAAACCCTAAACCCTAAACCAACCCCTAAACTGACAAATCCTATGACTCCTACACCCCTCGAGAAGCAAAACAAAAGCCTAAGCCGAAGAGTCTTGAGGACCTGGGATCTCTGTGTAGTAGGTTAGGTTATAAGTATGTTCCCTTAAGGGTACTATAGGCTTCCTTAAAGGGATCCTTAGAGGGATCTATAAGGGTTCTATAATGGAGGGTCATGGGACTTAGTAAGTAAGGTTGCAAGTGCCTTAATTGGGGTTACAAGTATACTTACCCTAATTATAGCCGTAGTTACTAAGCCCCATGATCCTTATAGTAGAAGCCAGGAAGTTGGAACATTACTGTCCTCATGCCCTTAAGGTCAAGTATAAGGGGTCCCAGCACTGATCCTACTAAAGCCATGTTCCAACTTTCTGGCTTCTACTTAAAGGATCATGGGACTTATGGATGAGGTTGAAGTTGTAAGAACCCAACACGGTTCAAGATCTTCTCTCACGTACAACAGCCCTCTTAAACAACTCCGTATAACGCTCAAGCAAAAGTCAATAATGCACTGAAACCTTATGAAGCTCCTTTTTACAGTCTTCTAAACCCTTAAAGCTCTATGGCGCCCAGCCCGTGACACAGAACCCGGCGGCAATAATGCCAAGAGACATGATACGAGTCGGAAGAAGAACCCAGCAAAGACCCTATAAGAACCTGATAAGAGCCCTTTAAACCCTACGAACGCCTTATGAGAACCTGACTAAAACTCTTTCAGAAGCTGCACCATCAACAGATATAGATCCCCTTTGAACCCTATGTGCTCAGACAGTCCTAAACCCTACACCCCGATCCCCCAATCCCAAACCCCAAAACCTAAAGCCCGAACGTTAAGCCATCGAACTTCTGGGCTCTGCACACAAAGCGGCTACTCTCGGAGCTCCCATCGGTGCCTTCGCTTTGGGATTTTTAGGCTTTGGCGGGGGATACCATCAGGGGTACTAGAAAGGTTACTACAAGGGCTTCTATACGTGGTTGAATTAAGATTTAAGAGATTTAGGGTTTAGAGTTTGCGGCTTCAGGGTTTTAGCGTTTGCAGTTGCGGCGTTTTAGTGTTTTTGCGGCTGAAAGGTTTAGTTTGGCAAGTTAGAGGTGGGGGCACCTTCAAGTTGAGGAAGGCTCCTTCGAGGCTTTGCCGGGGCTGCATCACGGCTTCTTAGAGCTGGCGGTATCTTGTTTGGGGGCCTATGCAACGAGGCAGGGTCCATGTTTCGGCCCCGTTTCTCGATACTCACAAACTTGCGTGGTCGAGAATTGAAAGCTGGATGCCGATCATTTTGGTGAGCCTAGCACCTGCTCTACAGGCTACAGGATGCTGACGCATTTTCACTGTTGGTGTTAGTGAGCTGGTGAGGATGTCGATGAACATCTTGCTGTCATGGTAACCATGACGATAACAGCGGTCTTGGCGATGGTGACAAGCATGAAGTTGATCACACGGACGACGATTTACACGATGGCAGGTGGTACACTTGTGGTGGTGAGTATCAAGCAGGTAGTAACAATAGCTATACATTCATTGACATTTACAATAGCTATGAGAACACGAAGGCAAAGATTAGTAGCAAAAAGCTGCTGCTGCTGCTACTACTACTACTACTACTGCTACTACTGCTTGTATTTCTGCTGCTACGCCTTGCTGATACCACAGTAATCTTACCAATCACATTCATAAACAGTTCTGTTGGCTTGCTTTACTGTCTGCCTTGGCGCGCCCGCAGCACCAGCGCGGCCAGGTCCTGCTTGGATGATCGCACAGATTGTTTTCCTTGCGGCGCTATGGGGTTTAATGTTAGGTTCTTATGAGTCTTCGATGTGTTTACGGGGTTTGCGAAGGTCTTAGGAGGTTAGGGGTGCAGAGTAAGAACAGCGCCCCGGCCCTCAACACGCAGTATTAGACTTCTTATATAGTATTGTTGATGCGTACATATTTATTTCAGCGCCTCCGCTCTGTCCACGCATACTCTGAATCCCAACGTTACCGGGCCCCCCGCCACCCCGTGAACCGGTGAACCTCTGAACCTTGACCCACGACGATGTCAGAAGCTTGAAGATCTTCTTGAACACGAGGAGTAGATTGCCCTGAACACTCTATCAAAAACACAACATTGCAATAGAGACGATAGCAATGGCAGGACACAGCCATAGGGAACGAGAAGAGGTCCCCAAAGACAAAACTCGAAGGATACGGGCAAGGTTGGGGCCTCAGCCTCAGCTTAGCAAACCCTCAACCCAAAACGACATTAGTAAGGGGTCTACGCTGGAGCGAGCTGCTTGGGTGATCAACCGACTTAGTAGGCAGGGTTGTAAGCCCTCAACACGCTGTAAAACCGTGAAGCAACTCTAGAAAACCAAACAAAACCATCCAAACTCCTTCAGCAAACTCGGTCAAACCAAACACATCCCTCTGACAAACCATATGGGATCCTAATGCCAAAAGCCTCAAACCCGCCCCACGCCTCTAAACCCTAAACCCCCCAAAAGACAAGGGCTCTGAGACCTCCTCGGCCAGGGCGAGGAAGCGCCGGGAGGACCTGGCCCCAGGCGGCTCCCGAAAGCCCCCCGTTCCCACAAAATACAAGGAGTATGCCCAGAGAGCCCAATACCCCTTAATTAAGGAATATAGCTTAAATCATAATATGAAGCCCCTTACAATTTAAGGTATATTGCTTAATTAAGGGGTATTGGGCTCTCTGGGTGTAGGGCTTTGAGGAGTAAAGGGGTTTTATTCTGCAAGGGTTTAGGGAGGGTGTTGGGGTTTTCAAGACTTTTCGGTGGGTTTTAGGGGTGTTGGGGCTTTCAAGGGTTTTCGGGTTTAGGTTTTGGGGCTCTAGAGGTTTTAGGGGTTTCAGGAAGCTGGGGCCGGGGTGGTACCTTTTCGCTGGGAGTCCTGAATCACGGTATGGCGACTGCTCGGGGCCGCAACTAATCAACAAAGAGGCGCTATGTCTCAGAGTTTCGGGACCACCCTGAAACCCTAAACCCTAAACCCCCGATCCCTAAACCCTAACCTGCAGACCCGGAACCTTGAACCTGAGTGAGGCCGTTCTGAGGTGGTCTGGAACTTCGGCAGCAGAGTGTAAACATCTAGAAGACCCTGGCTGGCTCAAAACCACGAGGAAAGCTACGCCACCTGGGGCGAATGGATGCAATACATATTTGCCACATATGTGCATACATACATACGCACATACGTGCATACATACGTACATGCATTTTTACCTACTTGCATGCATGCATACATATATGTATAAACATTCACAGGTAAGTATACGTGCGTGTCTCACACATACATAAGGGAGTCCGAAAGAACAAACATGACCACTGACTCAAGCCTAAACCCTAGAACCCTGAAAAGCCCTCGTAAACAACCGTCTACAACCCTTGCTAGAACCTTAAACTCCTAGTGCACCGTAGAAACCATAAATCCGCAAAGCCCTAAACACCCCAAGACACACTAAACCCAAGGCAACAACAACTCCTAAACTTTCAATCTCTCAGAACCTGAAACGCCTGTGTTCTTACGAAACCCCAAAACCCACCACAAAACTCCCGTCAGACCGCGAGACAAAAAACACCTAAACCCTGAACCCCAACCCCCTAGACCCTAAGCCCTAAACCCCTAAACCCTAAACCCCTAGACCCCTAGACCCCTAAACCCTAAATCCCTAAACCCTAAAGCCCTAAACCCCTACAGTCCTAAACCCTTCATCAGCCCTAAACAGAAAGAGCAAAAACCTCGAGATCTCCTCTTTCCACGCTTCCCCTCGCGACTCGTCGCTTTCTTCACCTCCGGCTCCTTCTCGAGTCGCCGCAGCGCCTTCTTCACCTCCGCAGGCTCCAGGCCCAGGGAAGCGCCTGGTTGCGGTCGACTCAGGAGTCGGTGGTTGGGGCTTAGGGTTGGAGTTTCCCTGAGGTTCTTGTAGGGGTTCTAGTTTTTTTGCCAGGGTTTTCTTAGAGTTTCCTGGTTCAGGATTCGGATTTTAGGGTTTAGGCTTGGGTTTTTTTGAAGGTTTCCCTGAGGTTCTTGTAGGGGTTCTATAGGGTTTGGAAGGCTTTGACAGCGTTGTTGAAGACTTTTGAGGTCCACTTCCACCTTCAAAGGAAGACCTGCAGCCCTGTACCAGTCCTCCAAACAGGAGCCCCAAACCTTCCCTGGTGGATCGCTGATCGTCCAAGCAGGTAGCTTCTGCCGGCTTGTGACTTTTTTCTCGGGGGAGCCTAAACCGCTACATGTTCTGAAGAAGGGATGGGGGCCTCTACACTGCCAAGCCCTAAACCCTAAACCTTAAAACCTAAACCTTAACAACCACCAACCCCGAACATTAAAGCGTGCTTGTTCTTTACTTGTTTTTTGACGGGGGGGGCTTCCAGAATGCAGGGCTTCGGGGCTCAGGTCTCCGGCTGAGCTGTCTCAGCTTGAAGTGCGTGCGCCGCCGAGGGCTTAGAGGCTGAAATATAGGGACCCTGATAAGTAGAACAGAGCTTTGGGCTTTGGGTATGGTTATAGTTTACTATCATAATAACAGTAATGAGAGTCATAACATGAACCAGCAATGATGAGCCCTAAAATCGTATCGGTAGTTATTTTGAGCCCCTATATTAAGTTCACAGGGTTTTTCCTCTCAGTAGCAGAAAGTCTACAACCAGAGCTAGCACTACGGTACCTGTCGTATGCGAATGTCCGTGTGCAAACGATGGCCTACCTATTCATATCTGTACCCCATACTTACATACTTGTGTATGCACGCATGAGCGCTGAGATAAAGATAAACCTGGTACATGTCCTTGTCCACTTTCTTGTCTGTATCACTCTCTCTCGCTCTCGCTCTCTATCTCTATCTGCATCTCTACCTCTATCTCTAGCTCTCTGTCTCTCTCTATCTCTCTCTCGCGCTGTGCATACAAATGCATATGCAGGATGTTTCCGTGGAAAAGTCTCGGCTCCTCCGCTTTGCTCCAGCTCGAGCTCGAGCGCCCGGCGCAGCCGTGTCCTTCGCAAGAGCCACTACTAGTACTTCTACGACCACCACCGCCGCCACCACTTCTACTTCTACTTCTACTTCTACTTCTACTTCTACTTCTGCGCGTGGAACTAGTGCTCTGGTTGAGATTGCTGCGGGTGGCTGCGGTCTTCTACTTCCACTTCTACTGCTATTGCTACTACTGCTGCTTACTACTACTACTGCTGCTGCTGCTGCTACTACTACTACTACTACTACTACTACTAGTACTACTACTACTACTACTACTACTACTACTACTACTACTACTACTACTACTACTACTACTACTACTACTACTACTACTACTACTACTATACTATGCTTATACTACGATTATTATTTTGCAACTACTGCCACCTCCAGCACTAGTACTACCACCATTACTGCTACCTCCCGCTTCTGCTGTCTGCTGCTCCCACCACCACGACGACGATGGCGCCGGCGATGGATACAAATATCAAAAGGCGCCACCTGGAGCCTACACACTTACACACTTCAACCATGCCCTGCGTTTGAATTTAAAGCCCTGAGCTCAGCCTCCAAAAGGGAGCAAAGGAGCATATACACAGATATATATATATATATATATGTATATATATATATATATACACAGACATACATACATGCATATCTTGGTAGGTAGATAGGAAAGTAGATAAGTAGAACACAGATACATGGATAGAGAAAGAGGTATAGATACATATTGCCTTCTTCCTGCCCCCTGGGCAGGCCCACAAAGCCGGCTCGCCAAGCGACGAAGCCCGACAACTATTACACCCAAACCCCTGAAGAGCAAAAACTTAAAACTTAGAACCGCCAACAGCTGAACCCTGTCTTAAGCAAGCTTGAAAAGATTACGAACGGTAAGAAGAAGAACTCAAATCGCACAAATCCTCCCTGGAACCCGCCAGCAAACTTAACTCCTGCACCCGTATAGGAACCCTCACAGAGGCTGAGTGCCTTTTTCATGACGAATACAAGCTATCCCCCTCATCTTGACTATGCTGTCCCTTAATCGTCTGTGATTTCCCTTACTGGACATGTCACTTGCTGGGTTTAAAGGATGAAGCACCAAGTAAAACTCGCAACACTTGCACTTGGTAACAATATCCCCTTACAGTCCCTAGATAATGACGAAGGAATATAGTTACCCCCAAACCAACCCTGTCCTAAGAATGAATGTTAAAGACCATAATGTCTACTACAAAATATACGCTAATATATATATATATATATATATACTATTATACAAATGCCCCCGGCCCCGGTTCAACCCTGCTTGAGTTCCGCTCCTGTCGCTGCCCAGCGAGGCCACGATGTCGCAGGCCCGGCGGCTGGGAACCCCGGACCTCTCGATCAAGCTTAATGTATCAATTCCCGTTTGTGCTGCCTGGCGGATGCCTCCAGAAACGATGCTGGTTTGTTCTTGAGAAGATAAAATCTGGAAGGTTTGTTGGGGTTTCTGTGCCGGCTGCAGCGGGAAATCCATGTTCCGGCCCCAGAAGGGTCACTGAAGGCGCAGATTCCGCTCCAGCACTAAAGAGTGCTCCCGAATTCTCGCACACTTCTCCCGGGGTTGAGGGCTTCGTGTTTCAAGTCCGGAAACAAGAGTCCACGCCCTCTCAAAGCCTCCGAGCTTCATCTGGGGTTCTTAAGGGAGATTGAATTGGTGTTTTACTGGGCTTTAGGTGGCGTTGCTAGGCCATTATGAAATTCGTTCACAAGGTTTTTGTAGGAAATGTTGACAAGGTGTTGAAGGGGTGTCAAGTCGAGCATCTATGAGTATTCCTAGTAGGATTTGAGAAGGATGTGGAATCATTTTTGAATTGGGCTTTAATTGTTTGACAGGGTTGTGGTAGTGTAACTCTGGGGCTTGTCACTTCTTCTGTTGCATGGGCTTTTAGAGTTTAGCTGCTAGCGTTGCAGTGCTGACGGCAACTTTTTAGGGTGGAAGGCTTTAGGATTTAGGTTGGAGGGTTTTGCTTACGCTTTGGTGGGATCTCAATAGGTTTTCATAACGTCTTATCAGGTGGTAATGAGGTTCTCGGAATGCCTGGGGTGGTCATAAGGGTTCATGTGTGAAGGGTCTGAAAGGGTAGGTTCTTAAGGCTTCGTTTAAGCACCTAAGGCTTCTAGGGTTGGGGATTTAGGGTAAGAGTCCAGGGTATTAGTGTGCCCGTGTTGGGGACTTCGGGCTAATAGTTCTGTTTGAAGGTAAGGCTGCAAAGGTTTCAGGGCTAACGCTTATAGGATCTATAGGGTTCAAGGATTTCGATGCAGGAGTTTGAGAGGTTTGGAGCTTACGGGTCAAGGCTTTGGGAATTGCGGGGTTTTGAGGGATAAGAGTCGAATTCTTGGAGGCCTCAAGGTCATTTGCGAAGTAACTGTAGTTTTCAATACCGATAAGCCCAATGGACATACATGAATATGCGTCGTTGCTGAAGGACATGATTTGGGGCTAAATCCGGTCCCTGCAACTATGTTTTCGGACTTCCCGCTTTGGTTTTTGCAGCACTCCGCTACCCCGT